AATTTAAAAATCATTCGAAAAATTCAGGAAAAATCATAGAAGCCTAAACTTGCAATATTATCCCACCTTACCCTATCTTATTTTATAGATTATATGTTTTTTTTTTTTCAAAAATTAATAATATCCTAAAATTGCAATTCAATATCACAATATTTGACTATAATAAGTTTTAAAAAAATAAGCCATTTGGTAATAAATTTTTTTCTTAAAAAATAATATTTTTTAGTAAATCGATTATCTACCTTTTTAATATGTAGAAATAATATCTAACTCGAATTGATAAAAAAATCCTATGACCATTTTTACAAAATCAGTCCTAAATTGTTTCATAATTTGTTTTATATTTTTACAAAATACTTGAATCAAATTATTATATTATACGCTAAAGATATTATTTAAAAAACGTACAATATTATTAATATAAACACGTTAAAACTTGATTAATAACTAAACAGATTCAATAGACTTTTTAAGTATAAAATTTTGTTCATTAATGATGATGTACGGAGACAAATTTCATTGGATATATCTTCAAATGCTAAATATAGTCGAATATTATTTTTTCATTTTAATTTTAATCGAAAAATTTACATGCAAATTAAAGTCTTCTTTTTACGTTAATAACAATTTTATGGTTATTATAAAGTAGGTAAATGTAGGTACAAAAAATTAGTTTCAGTACTAGTAATAGATAGAAATTAGATAAAAATTATCTTTTGCAGTTCCTATGGTAGAAATTAAGAAAGTTCAAAAGTTGTACATTATAAATTTATAAAATCAAAAAAAAAAATTCATAATAAGTTCCATACTTCATTAAAACAAACAATTATTGATTTTTGCAATCAGCAACCCTTACTGTTGTAATTAAATTCTAATATCATATCATATAATTCTTGATATTCAATATTTTACGGAAAATGTGGTTTAAATTATATTTTATTGTCAAATGCATAATTAAATAGCCATAAAAAATAATATAGCATTACAATTTATTATTTAGTTTTCACTAATACTTTGTTTACGTTACGTTTCTATGTACAATATTTATATTTTATTGTACAACACATAATAATTAAATCATTATATTCACTCGCGAAACTAGGTGGAAAAAGGAGCTAGCTCCAAGGTGAATAATAAGCTCTCTCAAAAGCGTATTTAAGATTGGAGTCCGGATCAAAAACTAAACTAACATAATGTACATTTTTTCTCGAAAGCTATTAAAAATTCAGGTTAACTCATATTTCATTCAAAAAAAGAATTTACCTATTCTTCTATTTCTTAAACTATTACAACTCTTTCTAATCAATATTTTTAACACTCTTTTAGCAAATTATTTGAAAATATGCACCTTTCACGAAATGTAAAAGATTACATTCATTTTTATACAATTTGTTGTAAAAAGATTTATTTTAGAATGAGGATGAAATAAATTTAGCTCGCTCAAAATTATTCCTTAATATGCGCTTATAATCATTTTGAGAATATTTCATAAAATCTATTTATTATACCTTGCATGATATAACAATATTTGAATGATGATTGCATCATAACAACGGGTAAAAGGCAGAGAGTAATAAACGATAATTTTACTACTTTTCGTCGGAGCAGAAACAAAATTTTTGTATTCTAAACTTTTACACGGTTTCTAGTCGGAAAAACACTAGCGCTGGTGTGATCGGAAGTTTCACTTTTCGATTATTCTACATAACTGACACCATGTCGCTTATCCCCTTTTGCCTTAGTCAATAAATGCTTTATCCCATAAGTATCAAATTTAATTCAAAATATAGAATAATATAATAATTTATTTTTAGAAAATCAGGTTTGTAGTAGAAATGTTACTAAAACTTAATATAATTGTCTATTACATGATTACATTTTATTGCGTAAAAATTCTAGTCAAAATTGAATAAAATTTATGTTATACAATATTGTTGACAATAGTTGTTAGCGTAAGGTTAATACTCACTACCTAACCAATGAATTTCCATCATAAAAATTAGATGAAATTGGTACACTCAGTAGTCAATAACAATTATTATTGCACGAGCAAACATCGTTAGATAATATACAGTGAATAATCTTTATGGTAAAGATTGTACGATTATATAATTCAGAGTAATCGATAATTTTAGCCGGACGTTAATACCGACTATTACGAAACTCAATAGGCAATTTTTCGTTGGAAGGGTCTATAATAAAAGTGTAATCCAATTTATTGGCTAATTCGTAAGACATACATGTTACAAATAACACTTATACGATAAGAAAATGTATATTCTTAATGCGTTTTTAGAATCAAATCATTATTTTCAAAAACAAACTATTTATGGGCTTATTATTAAATCATAGTGGTAGCATTAAAAAAATAATAATTTAAATTAAATAAAATCAAAAAGCTAATTTGTTACGTAATATTTAAATATATATATATATATCAAAGTGATAGTTTTCTTAGTAAAATTAATTTACTCATATCTCTATTTATTACTTACTTTCACAATAAAGCAATTTTTTTATAGTTTAACAGTAACAAGAAAATTAATTTACTATTTAAATAATACATAGATTAAATACTATACTAACGTTTTAATAAATATAATAAAAATTTAGGTTGGAACGATTTGTATGAACCAATGAGATTTTGACTGAATTGTGATCTGGTTAAAATAAAAAATCTGTATATAAATTTTTAGTTGTATTATAAAACACACACGATGATTTTGAAAATTTAGTCCTTATTTTATGAATATTTTTGTATTACTTTTTTTAATGCTTAAATCTAGTATTAACTAGATATTATATTAAACATTTTATACTTTAATCTAGTACAATAAAAAGTTGGAAGTTAAGTTAGTTTAACGTTTTAACTTAACTAGATAACTTGAATAAGTAACTTTAGTTTCATTTTTTAATAAGTTAAAGTAGTGTTTAGTTATTAATGTTATTAAAAACTATTAAGTAAAATACTGAAATAAAGCAACATTTTCCCGAGAAATTTAAAATAATGAAAAATATATATATAATATTAATAAAAAAAAAAAACCCAGCACAGGGGGGTCGCGGCACAGTGGTGTCGTGGTATAGTTGGATCAAGTATAATGATATCTGACAGTGATTAAAATCACTATAAAAAAAAAACGCTTCGATGCAAATCTTTAGATAGTGTTTAATTTTAAAAAATTGGTGTATTATTCCAAAAGCTACATGATCTGCTAGTTCCTTATTAATATCCTGATTAAGATAAAGTATGTCGAAGAAAAAGACATTATTAAAAAATATTATTTCTCATAAAAAAATTGTATTGATCCATACATTTTTTAAAAAGTTATAACCTTTTAAAGTAAAAAATGTAAAATATGAAATCGAGAAATTTCACACAAAAATAGCATTCGGTAGACGTTTTCACCATGAAGGCAAGTCCAGAGGTCAAATTTTTTTTTTTGAAATTAAAGTATATTACATTATATTTAATTTAAGATATATATAAAAGTGTCAAACTTCCGGAACATTTTCAAAAGTTAATTTTTTGTAAAAAAGTTGTCATTTTAAATCCCCCTTTGTGGGCAGGTTAAGTGTCAGATTTACAAAAAATATATACCAAATGATAGATAAAGACATCAAACATCTATAAAAAAAAAATTATATTGATATGTTCATTTTTGAAAAAGTTATGGCAGTTTTAAGAAAAAAAGTGAAAAAAATGACAAAATTTACTGATTTTTAAATTTGTAATTTTTTTGGAGGTTTCCCCCATTTACGAGGAACGAGGGAAATTTTTTCAATTTTTAAGGATAATGTCTTCGACTAGATACGATTTGTGATCTTTTGACGTATCGTTGAAAGAAATCCGTTCGGTGAGAGCTGAGAAAAAGTGGTAACAGACACAAAAAACAAAAATAAATGAATAAACACATCTTAGTAAAACCAATACCTTCTCAACTTCGCATCGAAGCTAAAAATGAATTTAAAACATACTTACCAATTAATAAATAAAAAATATATGAAATTAAAGAAACAAAAATATTTGTTTAACACTATTATTTCTAGAGAAATGGAGTTATTAAGAGAATCGCCGTAAAATTCACACAAATATTCTAGAGAGCAAAATGGCTGGTGTCCTGTGTAATTAACAGTATTAAATTACGACAGCCATTTTTAACTCTCGTATCCAAGCAGAAATTTTAAATTCGACTAACACCATTATTGTATATTAATTCAATGAGAAATCCTTGCATATAAATTTCAATATCTCTCACTGTCAATCAAAAGATTATCAGTTGGCACTAAATTAACCTTCTAACTGCAAAGTAAATTAATTACCTCTAACTTTATATTCATTTCTTCTTAAACTTATTAATAAATAAAAATACTATCGAATATTTAGAAAAATTTGAGACAATTTGTTTTAATTTAATGTTTACAATAAATAAATAAAACATAATACCGTAATAATAATTTAGGTCCAGCAATCATTCATTCAATAATTATAAAAACAGCAGAGATAATGTTCAATAATATTTAAAAATAAAAAAATCTCTATCAATGACTTAGGCGCCTTTTTTAATCTTTTATATTTCAGAAAATTAGTAATATATTGCTTCATAAACTATACTTTTCACAGTCCCAAACAATCTTGTATGAGTTGTATCACCAGTATATTATACTTAATTAAAATTAATTTCAAATAAAAAAAATGTATAATATAAAAATGTAGCCATTTTCCATTTATAACAATAGTAAATTGATGAACTATTATAGAGAGAATACATTATATATCTATATAAAATGCAATTTAAGCAAGAATTTGTATATTGAAGTATTTGAAATATAGCCAACATAAATAATCATAGAAATACACCCAGAATCAGTTACCGGAGATATAGAAAACAATAACTTCTTCTTAAGTAGACTAATTACAAGTTAAAAAAAAAAATTTGTTTAATTCAAAACTGATAAATTTTTAATATAATTTGATTAACAATATGTATATAACAGACCATTGAAAATACACAGTATTTACACTACCAAGTGTACTTAACATAGTACAAAATTACTTACCAGTAAATTATGAATGATCTCAAATATTTTGAAATATTTTAGACACAATACTTTAGTTTAAGTACAAAAAAAAAAAATCACACACTTTAAAATGTTCAACTAAACTAAATTAGTTACTAAATTTTTTCACAAATACGTATCCTTGTAGAGAAATAAATTTAATTATCTACGCGAATACTGACGACCGGATCGCATCGAAAACGTACCGCAATCGAACGCTTTGCGACCGCACTTACCACTGAAAACGGTCCACTATCGTAACGGCGCCTCCGACACCCCTTGCACACACCGAAGATCTGTAAAACAGTGGTACCAGCAAAAGCTTCCGGTTGGAAAGTTACCCATAAAATAATGTAAATTAAAAGAAAACTTAACTCTACGACTCATACCTCTACATTTTATTAGCTTCCTACAAGCTATATCTGTTAAAGTTATTGTAACTATACCTAATATATTTAATAAAGCACGTATATATGTCATAACCTACATACGTGCTTTATAAAATTTTAGATTTCTGTTATGGAAAAAAAAACAAATATGACACAAATTAAAAGTTGAATAATTTTTTAAACAATATTATAAGGTTAACTATCATATTTATAAATAATAGTTATCAAAACTTTTCTAAATATAATCAAAATATTGCCTTCGCTAGTATACATTCCTTTTTTTAGAAGAAAAAATGCTAATTGATTCAACGAAAAAGATAAAATATTTATAAATGCTGTAACTTTCATATAGTTATGCACACCGAATAAGGCAGTAACTCACTTTTCAGGATATCAAAAATAAAAATTACTCTTTGATTACCGCTATATGTTTATAAATTAGTATTAATTCTTAGTAGTTTAATTCCGATTCAATCCAATATGTCAATTTTTTGACAGAATTTATTATAAAAATTATAAAACCTAAATTAAAATACCTCATGATCTTAAAATCGATTTTTTAAGTTTATTATTATTATTTGAGCTATTTGTTATTTGATATAGCTTATTATGATTAAGAACCTTTAGAATTTGAAATTTCGGAAAAACAAAATTTTTCTTATTTTTGGAGTGACCTCTTCAAATGCATTTTTCGCTACTTTCTAAAAATCTAAAAGCATAAAAGATATAAATAAAAATAAATTCACTGATAGAAGAACTGTATATTTTTTATCAGTCATGTTATAAATTCAACGACCTTGGCACATGACTTCCTACGCTTTTCTCTAAATACGTCTCTGGCTACAAATATAAAATAGTTATCAAACTTATTTAAACATTATAACTATATTAAAATATTGATTATTGTATTTTATTTTAATAACTGATTGGTTCTAACCAAAGGCGTAAAGCATTTGAGTAAATGTATTTGAATAAAAGTATTCAAATACTTTCATTGGTATTGAATAGTATTTTTAAATACATTTAATAAAAAGTATCTGAGTAGTATTTTAAATACAATTATTTAGTATTTAATACTGTTTAATATTCAGTACTATTAATATACTTTTTTTTTCTAATTTGCTAACCGTAACACAGCAAGCAAATTAAACTCAGTCAAAATGAAAATTGAGAATAATTCTCTGTTATTTTATATGTTACATTATAGTATAACATAATTATTGTGCTTATCTAAATGCTATTATGTATACATCTATTTTTAATACATCAGTTGAACCTACAATAGCCTATTGCAGGTTCAAATGATTTACTCTATTGTCAATAAGACATACTTTACAGGTTTTTACACGTGTACTAATATTTATTTTTTTCACTGATTAGTCTCCAATAATTAATTTTATTTACCTCTAACAAAAAATATCGAAAATAATAAATGAGTTCTCTTAATTTAAGAGTACTCAATATTTGACTCAAATTACCCTCTTGGTAATTATTTAGGTGGAACCTTTTGCTCTTAGTTAAAATAAAAACATTATTATTATTTTTTAATTGTATTCTTAGTATTTGAAATACTTTTGTAAAGTAATTGAGTATTACTCAAATACTTTTGTATGAAAAGTATTCAAATAGTATTTTAAATACATTTTTTTTTAAATATTTGAATATTATTTAAAATACTTTTTAAAAGTATTTTTTACAACTATGGTTCTAACTATTGACATAAATCGAGAGGTATTGAAGGGATTTTATCCCTCCAAAAATGTCAACTATACCTGAAATTTATAATGGCTATAATATATACATAATAATTATTATTGCATATAAAATTTATTGAGTAATAATACAAATTTTGTTAAGCTGCTACATTATTAAAATTATTCTTTTTTATACTATAGTACTTTTCAAAATACTATAAAATGTAATATATATTACATTACATATATATTGAAATATAATGAAATTATTCATAATTAAAAAATAGTAATTCATCAGCATCTTTATGACTAATATAAATTTAATACAAACAAATCTCTCTATATTTAACATAATCATTAAGAATTTACATTTAAAATACTTAAAAACCCCAATCACAACTTGTATTAAGGTATACTTTCAATTAAATGTCCAAAAGTGAATATTTTATTGAAATTTTGGGACAGAAGCAGCGCCTGAAGTGAGCTAAAATTTATGGATTTTTTAATATATGTAAATTTTATCTACATAAAATGTATAATGTGTCTAATTAGTATATAAATAAATAAATATTAAAATAGTATTTGAAGTTTTTTAATAGATTTTTGGGAAAACACACTTTTTTTATTTTTGAAAAAGTATCAAGTGAGCACAAGTAAAGTTTAGATCTTAATGTCCGTTGTTAAAAAAACTAATATAATGTACTCAAATGGCTAATTTTTAAAACAAGTATGGCTAATGGGAAATTAATGGTCTTGTTTGTATATTTTCTTAATATTTTTAATTTTAACTCACAAAAATGTTTCCTTTTTTAGTCATATTAAAACCTTGTCTACTTATTTTGCTCAACTTAATCAGTCGCTAATTGCATAACTCAGCTATAAAATAAATATAAAAATATTGAAAAAATAATTTGAACAAATTTAATTAATAGAAAATATCTTATTCACAAAATGGTATAAATATAAAAAAAAACATTTTTTTATCTTAATTAAAATAAATACTTGGTTGATTATTATAAAATTTATAATTATAAAAAACAATTACACTAAGTTTTAAATGCACATGGTATATTTTTTTTCAACTTTAGCATAGCTTATAATACATCATACAAATTTCATTATTAATATTTGACTCACTACTATTACAAATAGGGTTACATCCCTATTATTTGAAGTTCACAAATATATATATATATATATATAATATATTATAATCTATTTATGTTGAAATGCATAAGGCAAAATACAGTCATATTTCAAGGTATTACAAATTAATATGTAAAAAAAATAAGTATAAATATTTATAAGAGTATTGGAATAAAAAAATAATGCAAAATGTTATACAATATAAGATCTTTTAAACAAAGGCAATACCCTTACTTTAAATAAAATTAAAAGTAGCTTTACAATGATCCTAAAAGTTATTTAGCAGAAACACAATAATGAAACATAGAAAAGCACCAATTGATAGTAAATTAATAAATTATATTGTATTTACAAGGTTAAAATACATAGACAGTAAATGAATTTTATTAAATAATAATAGATAAACCTACTAATTTTGTTGGTCTATCTTAAATCAAAAATTGGTTTTGCTATCGAGTTGTACTATACAAAATACTGATAAAATTATAAATAAAAAAACTAATTTTCTTATTTATTATTAAAAAATAAAATATAATTTAGGTGATAATTCTATTTTACAATATTTACAATTAGGTAGCTTGATTTACTTAATCAAATGATATTTTTAAACATTTAACACAAAAGATAATTAATTTGAAACTTTAAGTTAATAAAGATTTAAAAAAAAAACATACGAATGGTAAAAATCTCCATAAATGGACATATGTTTATATATGTGAAAAAATATATGTTTAAATTTTAAACAGTATTAATTTCTTTAGTAAATTGTTTCTCAATCTATTGAACTTAAGAATAGATTTGTAATTTAAAATAATATATGATTTACTTTAAATTTGTTCAGAAGATATTAAAAAAATAGTAAGTTTTAATAACATAATTAATAATTTAAAGATATTTTTTTAGTTTTCAGTCACTGAAACATGAACACTTGTTGTTTCCATTCGTTGTAATCGTTTTGGATCACAGTATATAAGACAGTTACCAACTTGGCTTGATTTTTGATTCAAAACAGAATTTTCACCATCTTCATAAAATGTTATACCTGGTTGCAAGGCATATTTCTTTTTTTCTAACCGTTCTTTATTGGCAAATACATCATGCCTTTCAGTCTTTTTCCATAAATAATAAAAATGTACTAACTCTCCGACAGTTCTTGTAATAACTCTATGTTGTTGAATCAAATAAAAATTTTTATTAAAGCATCTTATTCCATTTTCAAAATTTTTACACTCTTCTTCAGACCAAACCATCATTGCTCTACGACCAAACATTTGATCATTAAGTGTAACTCTACGTAATGCTTCTTCTGTATTAAACCCACATTGCAAAAGTAAAAATAGAGCATTTTCATCATCACGTACATGTTTACCTTTTGGTAATTTGCTTGTACCTTGAGAAATTTGATGAATGTGGTGAAGATATTCAGCAATAGCATCATCAGTTGTAGAATGAGGATCCCACAATAATTTGTCTGCATTCTGATAAGGTGGATCATCACCATACTTTGATAATCCATCAGGGATTTGAGCTTGATAATCACTTCCTACCATAATAGTTTTCTTTTTAACTTCTTCAAAGTCACTACCATCACTATCATCAGTAGGGTCTGAATAATCTGGACGGTCATTGGCAATACGTTTCGACATGATCAATGACAATCTGGACCTGTTGAACAAATTGTATTAACTTACTTAAGACATCTATTTATATAAAATAGTAAGTAATTTATTTTGATAGGAATTTCTTACTCAATAAAATATATTTGTTTAAATGTTAATTAAATCGAGTTATGGTAGTTCTCCAATCATTATACAGAAGTCGAATTTTTTTAAACCATGAGTATAGTATACCTATATAATACATTTAAAAATAGCAACTTTAATTATTGTTATATTACTCACCGAAAATATCAATTAAGTGTATAAATTTTTCAAGCATAATATAAATCATTTTATCATTCATAAATAAAATCAACCATTGTTATGTACTGTTTACTGTTTTCAAGCTATACAGCATTGCCACATTTATTCAACACAAAACATGTAGTTCAATATTATATTTATATACTGGAATAGCGCATTAAAAACATTGTTTATTTTTAAAAGGAACTTATTTTAAAAATATCTAAATTATAGAATACTTATTTTATTCATGAATCATTATGAAATAAATAGTATATATTTTAAGCCAACCGCTATAAATTTACCTAAAAAATATTAATATTTGACTATTTGCATCACTGTAATTTCTATATAATATTATTAGTATTATACAATGATAAAAACATTATCTATGATAATATTATCTAGGTCATTAATATTTTTACAAAGTGCGATTACCATTCTTAACTTAGCATTAAAATACACGCTTTAAGTTAAAATCCCTCTTTGTTCTAATATTCAAATAGCATTTATTTTGAAATTAATCGCTTATGTACTCAAATTCACCCAATCATTCAAGACCTAATAATTTATTGATTAATTAATATTTGTATTGGTTCAAATATATAATTTTAAGATATTATTCACTAAAATGGGTAAGTAACTAAAATGTTAATTTATATAATTAGTAAACATATCGTCGTCTTAATAGAATTTGAAATTATTTTTACCTTTTTTTAACTTTATTATTTGAAATTTTTACAAAGTTTAAAAATCTTAAATATATTTAAAAATAGATAAAGTTAAAATACATATAAATCGAAAAAGTTCGGTCAGTTGAATAGATTTTCTTTAGTAAATTAATCTAATAAAAATTATATAGTAAAATTTTCACTTAATTTATGACAATGTTAATAGTTATGTGTGTTCCTACAAAAATCTTTAATTACAAAGCTTGTAATTAAAAAAACTGTTAACTCTTTCTATCATTAGATACTGAATGCACAGCTGTTACTTCTCATTCATCTAGATCAAGGCGACAAGTTCCAGAAGTTAGAATTCATCAAAATCCTCACTGCCCACTTGAAAATAGAATTGATCAAAACCAAGAACGAAGACCTCCTCCTAATTGGAGAACCAATATGAAGGCTGATGAAAAATTAAATATTTGCCGGAAATATTACATAGCAGGATTCTTTTTACTTCCAATATTTTGGCTTGTAAATTTTTTATGGCATTACAGAGAAGCATATCAGGAAGAACAATTTGAAGAACAAACCCAAATAAAAAATTATGTTTTTAAATCAGGTGTTGGTTTCTTAATATGGGCTGTCGCTCTTACTTTTTGGATTGTTTATTTTCAAACTCAACGATACTACCATGATTGGGATTATTTAACTTTTAATTTTCCTACAGGATCTCCCTAAATTTTAAAAACAAATTATTTTCTTATAAAATTTGAATTCTCAATAAATTATTTGTTGATTTTTTTTTCATATTATTAAATATATGATAAGTTTTATTAATTTTTGATAATTAGTTATTGAGTCATGATTAACTTGTATAATTTTATACTTACACAAATTATCAATGTACTTTTTAATTGCTTAAAATATAGATAAAATATATTATTATTTAAATAATAATTTTCACTCAAAAAATACTAAGCTTCTGTTTAAAGTTATGAATTAAAAGTATTCTATGTTTAACTTAATGCAAGATAAGGTATTCAAGTTTTAAAGAAGCTTCATACATATCTAGGTAACTCTTTAATTTTTATTATCTTTATACTTTTATAACACAATAATATATATATATTTTTTTATTAATTAAATTTTTGTTATTCTGGGATCATCCTTTTAAATTAATGATATTTACAAATGTGTATATAGATGTATACTTGTGATATTCCCATGAATACAACTTATATTACTTAAAAGTCTTAAGCATTTTTTGAAGCTTAATTTTAATTTATCAATACTATTTTATTAGCTGTTATCACCCATACTCCATTCATAGAGAGTTTAATTTTTGATATTTTATAATCATGATTATTATATTATAATAATTATTATATTTTTATAATTCGTACTTTAATTGTTATGTTAAATTAAAATTTACAATCTGAATAGTGTATTGATGTATGATTATTTTGTTAAGTTTATAGTATTAACTGCAAGAATGATTTTAATAACTTATATAAGCTAGGATTATTCAAAAATGTAATTTATAATTTGTTTGATAATATTTAATGATTACTTTGAAATGTAAACTTTTTATCTATATTATAAATGAATAAGCTCATCTGAAAACTCTTTTATGAATATTTAATATATGAACCAAATTTATTGCTCTCACTATGTCAAAAAGTATCTTATCAAAGCACTAGGAAAAAACTAAAGTAAGGAATGTATATATCATAGATATCACATAAAATCATTACAAAAGTCACAATGTTCAAAATTAAAATCCAATAGAAATAAAGACAAAACTATTTGTTAAACTCCTTCATCATCGGTTATATACTTTCATTAGTACTAAATAATAGCTTTTGTTTTCAAATTAATTGTTCATATGGATGTAAATGTATAAACTTTAGAACATAAGGGGTTTTTATATATAAAAACTAAGCTGTCTGAGTAAAAAAATAAACAAACACATTAAGTGATTTTATATGAAATAATCCACAATTAGATTTTTCTGTATGAAAGTATAATTTAATATTTTCTAGAATCTTAAGTTTCTTCAGGAATTTAAATAATTAAGAAAGACCTCCTAGACAGTATTAAGTGTTATAAGGTCAACTGATATATAAACTTCCATATTTTTTACTCATTAATGCAAACAATAGTTAAAAAAAAAATTATTACACTTCACAATAAATACATACGTACATACTCATTGTGACCAATGGTTATTTGGTTTTTATTAAATCAAGATATTAGCAGGAAAAAATCAAAAATGAGTCAGCCAATAAAAGACCTTGAAAATATAATGTGAACTCAAATTGTATAGTGAAGCGTGTTGTTTGGTGGTGGCAAACGATCTCGGTGGGAATAACTCCTTAAAAAAATTGAGTAGTTAATGTGGTGGGCATAATGTATTTTAAATACAATATTTTTCCAATTTATATTTGGAATAATTTACGCATCTCCCCTCTACTAAAACTTATTACTGTTTAGTGTATATATACCTGTTCCGCTGATGACCAATCGCACGATCATACGAATTGACCTAACCTAATAATACTCTAGTTTGTGTTCTTAGCGTTGTGTGTAATTGATTTTAAAAAATCGATTTCATTAAAACTAACCAATTCTGATTATGCAAGTTTATTTTTTTTTGTGTTATAACTATTGTTGTCTTATTCATTTAACTTATGTTTTCAAAATTTGTTCTTAAATAAAATCCGACATGCACAATATCAGCTGAACATGCTATTCCAGATATTATTAAATTACTATTTACTTACTAAACTGTACTAATAAATGATTTCTACTTGTTTCTTAATACGTTCATCTGAAATTAAAATAAAAACTAATTTATTTTCTTTGAAAATTAACATTTATTTCTAGCTTAGTTGATGATATCGGTGAATGAAATTTAGTGGATTAACGTATGAACTACACAAAATATCTCAAAAAAACATCAACGAGGTACAAAAATAATACTACATGATGAGTTTTAATATTTATTAAGATTAAAATTATGACATAATAAAATATGCGTAAGTTTCATAACTGAATCTTATTAAGAAAATGAAATAAAAATGAATTTACATAATGATACTTAAGGTTCCACTTGTTGAATGATACCCTCTTAAATACATCTTCTTAGCTTTTAAAGGCCATCGAGGCCCATTGCAGCAACAAAAATCAGCTTCCATCTTGTACTTTAATTTCTTCTTAAGGTTTTTTTTACTTTGTCTATCCATCTTTGTTTCATCTTTGGTCTATCTAGTGAACTTTTTTCAAGGGGTTTCCATTTTATACTGTATTTATTAGACAATTTGACCTCCATACATAGCTAACCTATGCAATTTTATATTATAATAATGCTACTATGTTCTTTATATAACTGGTAATTCTATGTTGTTTCTTATTTCATATTGTTATGGTGTAATATTGTTCCTTTTGAACAATATATTCTTCTTTCAAAGATTACTATATTATCTTTATCTCCTTTGGTTGTTAGCCATATTAGCCAAACACGCACACAAAAAAAAGGTCTAATTACTACCTCGTATAGTGTAATTTTCAATTTGATCGATACTTGTTTTGATGTATGTATGCTTGTTAATTCATAATAGCTTTTATTCAGTGCAGCAGTTGTTATTTTAATTTCTTGATTGTTATTATTTTTGCTATTTATTGTAACAACAAGATATTTAAAACTATGTACTCTTTCAACCTTATGATTCTTAATTATAATTCTATTTTATTTATTCCTAAAAGTATATTTTAGGAGTAACTTTCAAAAGTGAAATGGTAACCTAATATTTTTTTTTATTATTAAATAAATATGATTTAAATAAAATGAGTTAATGTAATTTTTAGTTATAGGCGAGAAGGGTGTGCAACTTTGAAGAATTCTTATTTGTGCATCATGGTAAAAATAAATTAGATTTTAGTCTTTACGTTTTTATAAATAATCATTGTTTAACAACAAAAGGGTTATATCATTCTTAAAAATAACCATGTTCATTAAAGCATACCCTTACTATCAAAGTTACAATTATTACCCGGGTTCAATAACATCAAAATCTATGTATCAATTTTTACTCATTAAAAAAATTGACTAATTGATTTTTGTTGATTACCTATCATGATTTAACCATGACTTTTAAAATATGATGTTAATGCAGTCTATAGTGAACATGTCTATAAATACCTTAGAAATATAAACTTATGTCGATGAATTTTTAATTTTTAGGATGAAGTTATATTCCAAAATAATATATTTACAATGGTCAATAGGTTTAATACTACTAGCAAGGGTCACATATTCTGATTTAATATCTAAAGACACTATCACGTAAGTATTTATCTTAATCATAAATGATATTTTATACGAAGTGAAGTAAGACGATAAATAAAAAGTCGTGAAGTAGTGAAATGTGTAAATATTAACAAAGATGGGCAATTTAATGAAAATAATTAACTCAAGTTAAGTTAAGTATGATCAATGTCGATAAATTAACAATTAAAAGTTAAAAATTTATAAATTTAACTAGCTAGGTTAAAAGATAAGTTGAAATTTTTTTAACTTAACTAGTTTAAAAAAAGTTTATTTCATTTTAAATTAATTTTTTGTCCAAAATCTCTTAAAATCATTTTTGATTGGTCAATGATGTAAGGGAAACTAAGAATCGATTTTCAACTTTTAAAATTGAATATTCTTCCTTTACCTCGCCTTAATCCCAACTACTTGGGGTCGGCCACCCTAATCCTAAACTTCCACTTAACACGATCTCCCACATCATCTACGTTTACATCAGCCGTCCTCATATCGCATTCAATAGCATCCCTCCATCTCTTTTTTGGTCTTCCTCTATCTCTTCTTCCTTCAACATTCATTTCTATAATTGTTCTTATAGATTCCGATTCTTCTATCTTCATAACATGACTAAACCATCTAAGTCTATTTCCTCTCATCTTATCCACGATTGACGTTACACCTATACTCCCTTTTATATGTTCGTTCCATATCCTACATCATACTATCACTACAGTCTTGTAGAATTTACCTTTCAGCCTCATTGAAATTCTTTTATTGCATAAGACACCAGACGTTTCTCTCCAATTCAATTGATCCTAAATACTTAAAACTTTCTACATCTCCTATCACGTCCTCACCTATTGTCACTGTTCTCCTGAAGTCACCTACCTCGTGTTCTCTTTTGTCAAACTCGTACTCTATATACTCTCTCTTACTTCTACTTATTCTTAATCCCTTTTCTTCAACAGCTGATCTCCACAACTCTAGCTTATGATTAATTTTTATCCTATTCTATCATATTAACAACATGCATCACGGTACCTCTCCTTCTTTCATTTAATACTAGAGAAATCTCTAAATCTATAAATGCTATACTCAGCTTTTTCTTCTTTTCCCTAAACTTTTCTTTTAGTTGCTTCACATAAAATAATGGTTCCATTGTTGATTTACCAGGCATAGATCCAAACTGATTTTTAGATACCGATATCTCATTTCTTATTCTCTTATCTATTACCTTTCCCAAATTTTCATACTATGACTCCTTAATTTCCACACTCCTGTTTGTCTCTGTAATATTCTCATCTAGAATATTTACAGAAAATCAATACCTCTTGTATTTCTCGGATCACATTAAGAATACACTAACAATAACACATTTAATTCTGATTTTTGCAATTATATAGTGCCCATAAGTCACTTTTGTCTTCGAGGCACCACAAAAGTATTACAAAAAAGAAAATTAATTATAGTAACTGTTTTGCGTTGATTGGAATACAGACTGATGACTGAATGTGTCTATAAATAAACATGACCCCTTTAAAACGCTCAATCCCTATTTATGCCGTTCGAGGCAATATAAGGGCTGAAGACCCTGTTTTTCCATTCACTCGTTTATCTCTTTTTCTCACGTTAGTTTCTCAGATTATTCCCTAAAATACTCTAGCGTACTCTTTACGTGTCTTTCTATAGTTTTTAACTTAATACAATCACATAGCTTAAAATTTACCATTGTTAATATAATTAACACTATTTTTATTAATAAATACTACGATTTCATAATTCACATATAATTATCTTTTATTAATTATAGGAAGTATTCCTAAAATTTTAAACAACACTTTTAACAAATCAACAACCAAGATTTAATTATAATCAGTGGATATCAAGTAAGAGTAGTTTTAATACACTAACTACGCTAATCAAATAATAACTAGAAATCAAATTACTTGTATTTGTTATATCTTTACGAATGATGCTATTATCATTCTTCTTTATTAATACCATCCCCATCAACTTTATTTTTAGTTATTACATCACTTTACTTTTAAATATCGGCACCACATAACTAATCCTCCATTCATTTGATATTTTCCCTTCTAATAAGATTTTATTTAAAAGATCCTTCAACCACCTTATGCCACTATCGCCTAATATTTTCCATACTTCGACTATCACTTCATCTGGTTATACTGCTTTATTCTTTTTCATTGATACCACAGTTTACCATACCTCTTTCTCATTTATTAAATCTACCAGTCCTTCGTTCCACGATATATTGTCTAATGTGTCTTTTGGATACTCTTCATTCTATAATTTTTCAAAATACTTTTTTCCATCTTTTTTTCACATCATCACTCGATAACACCCTTTAATCCACCTTTTTTCTTTTACTTTTGCAAGTGTCTAGACTTATTTTTCACCTTCTTTTGTTCATAGCCTATTATACAACTCATGATACCTTTTACACTTATGAAAAAAATATTAATAATAGCAAAAAATTGATTATTCGCTTTGTACATTTTTTTGTTGGTTGCACTGTTTTATCTTTAAAACTAGTTATTAAAAAAAAAATCATATACATTTTTAAAAAAATCCAGAAAATTATATTTATTGTTATATAAATATAATATTTGGGGGGAAATTTCCATTTTTTTTTTTAATTAAACCACGTACGCAGCGTTTAAAGATATAAATTTTTTTACAAAGACATACAATTAATAATAAATAATGAAACAAAAAAAAACTATAATGAACAGTTAAAATATCATATTATTTTATTATTAAAACTTTTTACTAAAAATATAAGCAAATCATAAATATTCATCATTCTCAGTTTAAATAAAAGTAATATTTTTTTCTCCACTACTCTTCATTAATTGTAATATTTTTAACTCTAAATCATTATTATACATCATTATACATTTAAAAATGCTTGCTAAGTCGGGTCGTATTATTTATTTTCTTAATTAAAAAAGATTAATTCTTTGAATATAATATATTATAATACAAAAATTGTTGATAGTACCCAACATATATATGTTTATTATAGAATACTCTGCTGATAATAATAACTTTTAGAAAAATAAAAATTAAACATTTTTAAAAATATAATAAAAATTGATCACTTGTGGCTAAGTATTAATTAAGTAAAATTAAAACTATATTAAAAATATTATTAATTTAAAAAACTAAAAAATATTAAACTCAAAGCCACAAAAAATTAATGAAAAGTCGCGGATACGTATTTCGGAAACAATGTTACCATTATCAACGCTAAACACATACTGACACCCCGACTAGAAAAAAACTCCGTTATATACCCCTAGTGACCTTATCACCTAGTGACGTCATCACTAAGTAATATTATCACATTTTGCCAGTTTACACAAGTTTAATAATGAATTTTTCAGTGGGCCAAGATCCCAATTAATTAAATTGTTTTTATTTTTAAACATTTCTATTGCTTCTCTGATATTAAGTTCTTTGTAATTATTTACGTTTTTAATTAGTTTTATGGTTTTAATGGAGTGATTATGTGTCAATAAATGTTCAGCCACTGGAGATTTCTCAACTTCTTGATTTTTAATATTTCTTAAGTGCTCTTTAAACCTGACCCCTATATTTCTTTTTGTTTGTCCTACGTAACATTTATTACAACTTTCACATTGTATTTTATAAATGCCTGATTTCCCCCCTTCATCTACCTTATCTTTAGGGTTACCTAATAAATCTCTTAAATTATTACTCTTAGATGTTACCAAAGTNCCTCCCCTTCATCTACCTTATATTTAGGGTTACCTAATAAATCTCTTAAATTATTACTCTTAGATGTTACCAAAGTAATACCAAAATTCTTAAATATTTTAGTTAATCCATTTGAGATGCCCGGATAAAATAAAATTGGTGATCTAATTACTTTTTGTTCCCCCTCGCTGGAGAGTGTACTAGCTGCCCTCCTTTCTTTTTTCCACTTTTGTTTTCGGACTAATTTCAAAATTATGTTTTCGTTATACCCATTAAATTTAGCTATTTCTTTTATAACCACCAATTCTTTATCATAATCTATTTTATTCATCGGAATATTAATTAATCTGTAAACCATACTATTAAAAGCTGACAATTTGTGTTGCCAGGTGTGGTTCGATGTGTTCGGAATGTATCTGAACGTGTGTGTGTTTTTCCGATAAATTTCAAAATTTAGTTCCCCCTCTGTTCTTTTAACTAATAAATCCAAAAAAGGCAATTTTCCCTCTATTTCTTGTTCATATGTAAATTTAATCGATGGGTAAAAAGAATTTAAATGTTGTATGAAAACCCCCATATTAAAATCTTTATTTATAACTGCAAAAATATCATCGACATANAAATCGATGGGTAAAAAGATTTTAAATGTTCTATGAAAACCCCCATATTAAAATCTTTATTTATAACTGCAAAAATATCATCTACATACCTAACCCAAATTTTTGGAAAATCACCATAAGTGTATTTTAAATTTGTTTCAAACCTACTCATGAAAAGTTCTGCTAAAAATGGTGATAGCGGATTTCCCATTGCTGTGCCCTCAGTTTGCTCATAAAATTTATTTTGAAACTGAAAAACATTTTGACTCATACATAACTTTGTTAAATTAATAAGCTCATTTATTTTATCCTGTTCAATGTTTTGGTCCTTTAGCCAGTCTTTAAGAAAATCAATTGTTATATTTATTGGAATATTCGGAAATAAGGCAACTACGTCAAAAGAAATTAACCTGTCATTATTTTGAATGGTATAACTAGATAATTGTTTAACTAAATCAATATTATTTTTAACTGAAAAACTATCGAATTTTTTGAAAGATGAAAATACCCTTACTAGGTGTTTAGCCAAATTGTAAGTCGGAGCATTAATATTCGACACAATAGGTCTCATAGTACTTCCTGGCTTATGTATTTTTGGCAAAGCATATAGTTTAGGTATTTGAGGGTTTGAAATTTTAATGAAAAACCTGAACTTTTCTTCGATTATTAATTTTGAACTATTTATGACGTTTGTAGCCTCCCTTATCATTTTACTTAATGGATTCTTTTTAATTTCTTTATAAGGACCCTCTTGAATCATTCTTGATACTCTTTCATAATAATCTTCTTTCTTTAGTATTACAACAGAATTCCCCTTATCTGACTTAAAATAAAAACAGTTTTTATTTTTTAAGTCATTTATGAGTCGTGAATGTTTTTCATTTTTTCCTAAACCCCCTTTATTTATAACAGAATTTTTTTGTAGAAAATTTAAACACTCCCTTCTTGCTAAGTCTTGATTATTAAAATCAACACTTTTAACCCCCATTTCAATGCCTACTAGTAGATCTTCCATTGGAAATTTTTTTGGTAAANTCATTTCTTAAGTTGGGTCTTAAAACAAGTTTTTTACCAAAAAAATTTCCAAAAAAAAAGGAAGATCTACTAGTAGGCATTGAAATGGGGTTTAGGAAAAAATGAAAAACATTCACGACACAATAAATATTTATTTGTTATATTTGTTAGTCAATAGTGCAGGCCTACTCATTACTAATAAATTTAATTACATTTTTTTTTTATTAACCATGAGATTGTTGTTGATAAAAATTTGTTTTTTTTATTTTAATGACCATAATAAATATTTGGATTTTTAAAAATTAAAAATGTAAAAATAGGAACAATTTAATAAATAATTTTTTTAATTTCCATACAACAGAAGTACATTGTTTTTTCAGAATTCAAAAAACGTCTAATAAAAATATATTAGACTCATTGTTTGATTCATCTAAGTATGACAAGACAATTTTACCAATATATCAAAGTAAGCATTATTTATATCAGAACGATAAATTATTTTTGAATATTTAGAACTTTTCTCCGATATAGAAAATATAGTGTTCCAGTTTATAAAAAATCTGATCACAATTCTATTTTTTTTATTTTTTATTTATACTACTTTAGTTAATTTTCTTTTTTTTTTTGTCATACATTTTTAGCATATCTGTTAATTTTTAACATACAATTAAGTTTTCATAGTTAAAAAAAAAATTATCATATTTTATTAGAAATCGATGACTTGTAAAATAAGTTTTAGCTGAAAAGTTAAACGTATTGAGCTACCAATAAAAAAAATATTTAAAAGACTACAACTTTAAATTATGATAGAAAAAATTTTTTTTACAATAATCTTAATTATGATTGTAAAACTTGTTTTTTTTTTTATTCCGTACAAAGTACGCTTTAATAATTAAGCTCAATTGAGTTCCATGGTGAAAATAGTCTCAGATTATAAAAAAAAAGTTTATAGAATATAAAACACGTACTTTTTAGATGGTCATATTTGCTAATGAATCGTTCAGTTGTTAATCAAACATATAAATGTTGAATAAACAAAAAAAAATAATTTGATTTTTAGTTACATTATTATTGTGATTTTTATTAATAAAGACTAGATTTATATACTTAAGAAAATTTAATTCAAGTTTTTTTAACCTAATTGATAAAAAAATTACAAAAAGGTTTATTCTTATGATTTTATTATTTAATTAACCGTTTGCGTTTTAATATTGTTTAAAATTTTGAATTAAAAGTTAAAATTCATATTTCAATTTGTTTTTTTAATACCAAAAGCAGCAATAATTTATTTCAATAGACCATAACATTTTTTTTGTGATAGTTATAAGTAAAAAATTTTCTACGCCAGTGATTAACATAGAACCATAATAAACTTACGTTTAATATAAATGTGCGGCTACTAATGGAAATGAATATTGAAAAATATTATTTCCGTTTGTTGAATAATATCTTAGTTAATAAAAGCTAATTTATGTGACAAAATAGAAAAATGAAGACATTTTTTATTCTTAACCATGAATTATCTTTATTATTTCATTGAAGATTACTAAACTCTAACATACTGTAATAGATGAGTGATTGATCGTCCAAAAATAAATTTAAGAACAAAATTATTTATAATTTTTTCTTTATCAAATTATCAAGTTAAAAACAGGGTTCCCAATTGATAAAATTAAATATAAGGTATTTTATTCCAAGAGAGATGGAAAAAAATTTGTAATAATACTGTGAGCTTTATGAATCATAAATTTCTCTTAATAAAAATTAATACATTTTGAATGGTTTCTGATAAAATGGGTGTTTTACCCAAAATCGAATACTCTTTATACACTTATGATTTTTCGACGGTTTTAAAATATGTTGCCGCCTCTGTTTCACCGATTGAGACTTTGCAATCATCGCAAATTTTAGGTACAGGAGTATATTTAAAAAACCCAGCACAGTGGGGTCGCAGCACAGTGGTGACGTGGCATAGTTGGATCAAGTATAATGATATCTGACAGTGATTAAAATCAATATAAAAAAAAACGCTTCGATGCAAATTTTTAAATAGTGTTTAATTTTAAAAAATTGATGGATTATTCCAAAAGCTACATGATCTGCTATTTCCTTATTAATACCCTGCTTAAGATAAAGTATGTCGAATGAAAAAGGGATTATTAAAAAATATTATTTCTCATAAAAAAATTGTGTTGATCCATATACTTTTCAAGAAGTTAAAGCATTATAAAGTACATATTAAATATCTAAATACTTCGCTGTTCGTCTTTATCTACCAATGGGAATTTAATGTTCGTATGTACTTCTTAGATAAACATATTTAAACAGAAATTTTGGATGATTTAATCGTCCAAATATTTTTTTTTCGTACTAAGTGATAGTAGAAGGGACACGGTCAATTCTGTTTTTTAAAGAAATTTTAAAACTCGACCGTGTATATTTTACTAAAACATGAAAAATACCATAATTTTCCCAAGCTAAAGAGGCCAAACAAAAAAATTAATTTGTTCAGTTTTTAATTATTTTTATTATAATATAATAAAATTATATTCACTTGTATATTTAAGTAAAATATAAAATAAATGATATTGTAGTCTTGTCTCTGTATATGTACACATGTATTGCAAGTCGCTAGAATCATTCCGACAAAATCTATCTAAATTTATTCATTACCTTTAATAATTAAAATTTATATTACTTTTAAGGAGTTCTATGAATACCATAAGTTAAAAGTTTTAACTCACAATATTCATAAAATGTTGAACTTAAAAAGATAACAAAAACCATACTATTTTTTTTTCTACCGAATACGTTTAGTTAGAATAACTGAATCAATGCGGTTAGAAATTATTACCGACATGTTCGGTTAAAGAAACCGCACAATATAGTTTATATAGCCAAAATAATGATTCTATAATTCAGTTGTCAAACCAATGAAATCATTATAACAGAAAAATGGCGTTAAGAGATGTTTATTATTTTAAATGATATTATGATTTATCAAATAAAAACTGTGTTAAAATTGCACTTTTCGGTTGTGACGGAGAAATATGTTTTAAGGTGATAAGTGATTGTATATCACGAAAAAACTGTTCAAGGTTGAGTTGGATTGTCACGTGCTTCTGTTGCCTGGACTGCTGAGAATTTATCGATGGTTATTTTCCACGAAAACTTACAGACTAAGACAAATTATAGTGTTATCGAATATTGACGATTTACATTCATTGTTATAATAACACTAAAAAGGTTGTTTTTATTAATTATTTTTATTAGAGTATTCAATTGAATACTAATTATAATATTAAAATTATCAATAATTTATAAATTTTGTATTCTAATAATGGACGACTGAATGAGGTATAATTTGAGAAAAAATGACTTATCAATGTTGATACAAACTTTTAAAGGTAGAAGAAGTTTTTATTATTTAAATTTGAATCTATCCAGTAAATTTTAATTTAGGTGAGCAAGCAATAGTTCTTTGGTTTTTTTTAAATAATTTTTAATATTGTTTACTCTTGCTGTTAAGCATGATTTTAAAAATAACTATTTTATAAAATCAAATATGTTCATTTTTGGTATATACATTAAAATTATATTAGTAGTAATAATTTATATTTCTCACAGCTGAAGTAGGCTGATATGAAATATATTTTTAATTAAACTTCTTAGAATGATTTAAAAATAATTAAACCTACTTTTTCTTAATCAAGGTCCCACAATTATAAATAATTACTGTACACTTTTTTAATAATATACTATTTAATATTCAAGGCGAATGTGTGTTGTAAATTTTTGTAATGAATAAATACATTGATCATTAAAAGTATAAAAAAACATAAAAATTGATGTTTAACTGTAAAACTTTTAGTAATATCAATAATAAAATCAATATAATATAAATATTAAAATATAATATAATTTTAACATAGTATCCATTATAACATTGCCTTAATGGAAAGATACTAAATGAAACCAAAGAATTATGTGTAGACTTTAATTGGAAATAAAACACTATTCACAAAATAATTAGTTTAAATGTATAATTATAAAATAATTTGTTTTAATAAAATTTTAATATATATTTTTTATTCAAATTAATTAAATATTTGAAAATTTGATTTTATCATAGCATTCTACTACAAAATAAAATACACTTACTTTTTCTTAACTAAATTTAACTATGTATAAAGACATTAAATTGAAAAAAATAACCGTTATTACAATTTATTTTACTTATTAAGTTTTTTTATAATTATAGTGATTACGTCAATTAAAAGCATCGCTTAAGTTTTTGTTGAATTTTTAATTTCTGTATCTTTTAACTTAATTGTTATTAAATACAACACTCTCAGTATCAAAAATAAAAATTTATTCAATTCAAAAAAAAAGTTTAAGTTTGACAGGAACTCTTCAGTTTAATAAAAAATAAAGTTTAATAAAAATAAAAAATTAAGCACAGTGGGGTGGCGGCACAGTGAGGTGGTGGCACAGTGGGGTCGTGGCATAGTTAGGTTCAGTATGGATGATATCTGACAGTGATTAAAAATCACTATCATAAAAAACACTTCGATGCAAATCTGTAGATAGTGTTTAATTAAAAAAAAAAATTTGTTCAAATAGCATATTAGCTTCGATGCGAAGCGGAGAAGGTATTAATTTTACTATGATGTGTTTTTTTTTTTTTTTTTTTTATCTGTTGCCACTTTTTCTCAGCTCTCACTGGACCGATTTCTTTCAAAAATACGTCAAAAGATCACAAATCGTATCTAGTTGAAGACATTACCCTTAAAAATTGAAAAAAATTCCCTCGTTCCCCGCAAATGGGGGAAATATCCAAAAAAATTACAAATTTAAAAATCGCTAATTTTCGATTTTTTCCATTTTTTTTTACTAAAAACTGCCATAACTTTTTTAAAAATGAACAAATCAACATAATTTTTTTTTATACTAAAACGTTAGATATCTACCTTTCATTTGATATCATTTTTTTGAAAATCTATCACTTAACCTGCTCATTGGGGGGGATTTAAAATGGCAACTTTTTTACAAAAATTAATTTTTTCAACTTAATTTTTGAAAATGTTCCGGAAAGACTGCGTCCTTTAAACATATATCAAATTAAAGCTTATTTTATGTACTACAAAATGAAAAAAAAAAATTTGTCCCGACACTTTTTTTTCTACATTTAAACGGCTGCCGTAGTTAAAAAAACACTATTTTTGTGTTAAAATTTTCGATTTTCGATTTTAAATTTTCAACTTAAAAATGCTATAACTTTTTGAAAAATGTATATATCAGCACAAATTTTTTTTTTCTAAATACATTATAAGTACATCTTTCATTTGACATACTTTTTATTAAAATTGGACAATTTCCCCTTATATAGGGGGCGTTCAAAACTTAAAATATTGTAAAAAACATAGATCTTTTTCAACTGAACTTTTGAAAATGTTCCGGAAATACTGCGTCCTTTAAACATATATCAAATCAAAGGTTATGTTATATACTATCAAATGAAAAAAAAAAATTTGTCCCGACATCTTATCTTCTATGTGCAAATGGCTGTCGAAAATTTAAAAAAAAATGTAATGTTTGCGATAAAAATTACATTTTATCGGGATGTTTTTTGTACTTAAAACTGCCATAACTTTTTCAAAAATGAACAAATAAAAATAATATTTTTTTGTATTGAAACCTTAAATATTTCCCTTTCATTTGATATCATTTTTTTGAAAATCTAACACTTATTCTTCTCACAGGGGGGGGTTTAAAATTGCAACTTTTTTACAAAAGCTAACTTTTTCAACTTAATTTTTGAAAATGTTCCGGAAATACTGCGTCCTTTAAACATATATAAAATTAAAGCTTATTTTATGTACTACAAAATGAAAAAAAAAAATTTGTCCCGACGACGTATCTTCTATGCGCAAATGGCTACCATATTCAAAAATATGCTATTTTTGTATGAAAATTATGTGTTTTGTATTTTATTTTAATAGAAGTTGATGTTGCTTTTGCAATTATCCATCAATTTTTTAAAATTAAACACTATCTACAGATTTGCATCNCCATCAAATTTTTAAAATTAAATACTATCTACAGATTTGCATCGAAGCGTTTCTTATGATAGTGATTTTAATCACTGTCAGATTAAATCTATACTGGACCCNTGTCAGATTAAATCTATACTGAACCCAACTATGCAATGTCTCCACTATGCCGCGACCCCACTGTTCTACCGTTTGTTTTTTGTTATTTTTTTTAATATGGTAATCATTTGCGCATAGAAGATAGGTCGTCGGGACAAATTTTTTTTTTTCATTTGATATTACATAAAATAAGCTTTAATTTGATATTTGTTTAAAGGACGCAGTATTTCCGGAACATTTTCAAAAATTAAGTTGAAAAAGTTAATTTTTGTAAAAAAGTTGCCATTTTAAATCCCCCCCAATGAGCAGGTTAAGTGATAGATTTTCAAAAAAATGATATCAAATGAAAGGTAAATATCTAAGGTTTTAGTATAAAAAAAAATTATGTTGATTTGTTGATTTTTCAAAAAGTTATGGAAGTTTTAAGAAAAAAAAGTGAAAAAATTTCGAAAATTAGCGATTTTTAAATTTGTAATTTTTTTGGATATTTCCCCTATTTGCGGGAAACGAGGGAATTTTTTTCAATTTTTAAGGGTAATGTCTTCAACTAGATATGATTTGTGATCTTTTGACGTATTTTTGAAAGAAATCCGTTCGGTGAGAGCTGAGAAAAAGTGGCAACAGACATAAAAAAAAACAGATCATAGTAAAATTAATACCTTCTCCGCTTCGCATCGAAGCTAATATATTCAAAAATTTATATTGTTTGATCTACCAAAAGAAAGGCCAACTTATTGCCACCATAATCAAAATGATTATATGTACATTAGGGTGGCGCGAAAAAAATCGACTTTCAAAATTTTTATCAGACACCCCCTGGATTTATTAAGTATATAAAAAAAAACAATGATATCTTTATTGATAGAAATCAATAAAGATAAAATCAAAACTTAGTTTTAAAAAAACGTGAAAATAAGGTATTAATATTTATTATTAATAAAAAAAAATTTTACACCATATAATAAACACAACAATTAATTTAACTATCAATTTTTTAAAACTTAAAAAAAATTTTTGACCCCTTTCAGATCGATCCGAAAAGTACCATATACTTAGACGTTAAGGTAAATTACGTAATCAATATAGGTCTTAGAAATAAAAAAATTATAAAATCGTTTTCTACGTTAAAAATACAACATTTTACATATATAGATGATTATAATTGACCAAAATTTAGAATTTTAATCACATTTTAATAATTAAGGGGTATTTTTGATAAAAATAGGAAAAACGCTTTGAGCGACCTGTAAAAATTTTTTTATCGATCTCAAATTTTCAAAACATGTTTTTTTTATATACTTAATAAATCTAGGGGGTGTCTGATAAAAATTTTGAAAGTCGATTTTTTTTGCGTCACCCTAATGTACATATCATAATTGTTTTCTATATTGTAGGTTTTAATTGTAAAGTATGTCGTCTTCTTCATGTACCGGTTCGTTTCAAATGTTATGTTTATTTGTAATGGTTTTGAAATTTAAAATATAATTGAACACCATACCAAATTTACACAAATTTTATTATAATTAAGAAGGTATATTTAACCCAACCCTTAATAATCGGATAAATTAAGTCAACACACATGATAATTGGAACTATTTAGGAGAGTGACGGATACAGTGTAAAACGGTTATTCTTATTATTTATAGATAATTAAGATAACCATAATGCATAATTACTGTAATTAAAGCGTATAGCTATAATAACCATAATTTGTCAACCTGTCAATTTTGAGTCCAAATCTAAAATATGTAAAATAATGTATTTAAATTTTATTACCGTTTTGTATATCATAATTTATTCATGAATATTTTTAACTTTATTTTACAGAGCCTTTAATAATCAATAATAGTATTGCATTGGTCACTCTCAGTTCTCCTGATGAAACGAGCCTGGTAATATAATTAATAATTAACTATACGTTGCTTTGTAATGGAAAAGTCCTAACGCAATTACTTACATTTACTTTTTCATATAAATAGGTTAAAGAAACACTCATGTAACTTTCAAACTTAAAAAACTATGTCCATGTGTTTATTAAAAACAAGTTAGCTCGATTTAAAACACAAAATTATATGTAATATTTACATATAATTTATAGATTATTAATTATTATTTTCTATTTTATGATTTCGTTTAAATTGAAAGTTATTTATTTGTCTAAATAAAAATATATAATTAAGATATTTATATTCGTAATACTTATGGCTATAATATTAAAACGTACTTTTAGTAGAATTATCTCCATATATTATAAATAAATCAAAATAATTAATGAAAATTTTAATTTCAAAACGCTTAATTGAAAAATAAATTATTTCAAGTTAAAACCTTTTTATATAAAGACGTTTGATTGTGTTACATGTGGTTACAAATAAAATTAAAATAAGTAGGGCGGTATATTACAGCTTTGTGAGGTAAGAATATAATAAATGTATTTCCACACCTAGATTATATCTATTAAGAGGACCAGGATTAGATATATTAATGACCGCAAGAAAATTTTTTTTTATAAAAACTGTAAACAATGTTTTTATTACAATACAGAAAAAAATATGCAAGTCATATAAAAATTAATAATGAGAATATAACTTTGAATTTATGAAATAATTTTACCAATTAGGCCTAATATAAAAATAGATTATTTTTTTTTGTAGGCGCATAATACTCGTGAGCCGGGAATACGTCCCCTCTCTTAATCCGGCCATGTGTATTTCTAAAATAGAAGATCATGTTTCCATTTTTTTCATTTATTTATTTTAATGAGTAAGCAGTGTTAGTTGTAACTAAAGTATAACTAGCAGATTCTGCTAAAAATACATATGATACTATGAAAAAAATTGTAATTAATATTTTCTTAAATGTTTTATATATTTTAATACTAGTTAACAAAAAATAATATAGTTATCAATGGATATTAAGAGTCGGGAAAAAATTTGATAGGGGCCCCAGAGACAATTTCCTAATGGGTCTTAATAGTAAAAAAACCTCAAACTTAGTTTGAGGTTCTAAAATAAATGGTAGCCCCAGGCCATCACGTCCTAGATTTCTAGACCAGACTAATTTTGGTTAATGCAGTAAATATGTATTGTTTAAATTGATAAATATTTTTTTATTTTATACATTTCTTAAATGTTGAAATAATTTCGTCCAATAATAAAATAAACAAATTATTTATCAGATAAATTTATTTGAGCAATAAAAATTATTTCATTTTTATGATTTGGTAGGGACCTCAGAATATCTCTTATTTTCATAAATGAATATATTTTTTCCGTTAAATAAATTTTAATATCTTATAATAACTAATACATTTTATATTTAATTAAATCATTAAATTTTATTCTGTATAGAAGTATGAAATTGAGTTTTTACTCAGCCAAGAGTGGTATGATGAAAGACTACAGTTTAACAATAGAAATTACACATTTTTAAATGGATACCATTACCAAAACTTAATTTGGTTACCAAAAGTTAATTTTCATATGAATGGTGATTTTAAACCTTTTCAAAGACCAGCTCAATACTCTCTTAATATATTTGAAAATGGACGAGTTGAATATACTACAAGGTATTTAAGTAAATATTATTTTTAAAATAAACACTTATATTTCTACCTAACCACCAAATTTTTATTGCATACATTGAAAATACCTAGTTATTGTAGAAAAAAAATTAATTAACAAAATACATCTCAGTTCGTAAGAACTTCTTAATCTGTGTATACTGATTATGCAAGACAAACAGTCCTTTACGATTTTAGTTGAAAATGTCGTCATTTCGGCTAGTAATCTAGAATAACCGCGTTTTTTTAAGTAAATTAAATTATTGGATAAGTAAAGCATTTAAAGTTAAAAAAGAAAGGTCCTCAAGATATGTCTCCATAGAAAAAGCCAAAGAATAAAAAATATACAGCTTGTTCAGCAAATAAGAATGATATAAGTCAATTGTTATAAACAATAAGAACAGTGAAACGCGTCTCTTTATTTACTTAACATTCTATATAATTGTTTCTTTTCACAATATATATTATCAAACGAAATTTAATCAGTCCTGAAATTATAAACAACTAGGTGATCGAATTTGTATTCACATTCTCAGTGAAACGTGTTGATTATTATTTGATTTCAGTATATATTCAGGGGTGATTCTAGAGATTTTTTTAGGGAAGTCTGAAATAAATCTTGTCGATTGTTAGTGATAAATTTACTGACTAAATTACCTAAATAATTTAAAAAAACCACAATATAAGACTTTTAAAATACAGACCACTAATATCTTTAATAAACATTTGGGAATTGTGACAATTCTCCCATGTCCACTAAAAAATCGCACCTGTGTATACTGATACATTCAATGCCAGATTCACACCTAAATCTCAACTACACTGTTTTTTTACTAAAAAATTGTACTTTGATATTATTACTATTTTATAGACATCATTTATTGTTAAACTGTCAAGGGTTCATGAACGTGTTTCCATTTGATACACCATTATGCACTTTTTCAATGGAAAGTAGTAAGTTGAATAATTATGCAATAGCACCAAATCTAACTTAAGAATAGTTACAATAAATATAAAAATCTTTGAGTAACCATAGTCGACATAAAAAATGTTTGTTTTTTGAATTAAAACTTGAAATTATTGATTATTTAGTTATAGGTTTAATATAAAAATACATCTATAGACCTACATATCTAAAAATGTTGTTAATTTAAAATAATTGAAGATAAGCATAACAAAAAAAATTTTAATAGTTCTTAATAAACTATTTTTAAGTATCATATGAGAATATAGATGTGAAATACCAATGGGATAACAATAAGAAATACATGAAAAAATATCATTATTTTAAAACCGTAAACGCTTATTTGGAAAGAAATCGTACAAATGAATGTGATGCAACTGAAAGATGGAGAGGTATTTTTAAAAATTTAATTTAAATTAAAATTTTCTTTTAATTTAAATATGAATGTAACCCTAATTTTTTTTAATATTATATTGAATATATGTATAATTAAAATAAAAATATACTTCTCTCCTTCTATCTCGCCTTAATCCCAACTACTTGGGGTCGGCCACCCTAATCCTAAACTTCCACTTGACACGATCTCCCACATCATCTACGTTTACATCAGCCGTCCTCATATCGCATTCAATAGCATCCCTCCATCTCTTTTTTGGTCTTCCTCTACCTCTTCTTCCTTCAACATTCATTTCTATAATTGTTCTTATAGATTCCGATTCTTCTATCTTCATAACATGACTAAACCATCTAAGTCTATTTTCTCTCATCTTANTAAGTCTATTTCCTCTCATCTTATCCACGATTGACGTTACACCTATACTCCCTTTTATATGTTCGTTCCATATCCTACATCATACTATCACTACAGTCTTGTAGAATTTACCTTTCAGCCTCATTGAAATTCTTTTATTGCATAAGACACCAGACGTTTCTCTCCAATTCAATTGATCCTAAATACTTAAAACTTTCTACATCTCCTATCACGTCCTCACCTATTGTCACTGACGTCCTCATTTCACCAACCTCGTGTTCTTCTTTGTCAAACTCGTACTCTATATACTCTGTCTTACTATATTATTTTATCGCCCTTACCTATTTCCCTCGATTTCTCTCCTTTCCTCTTAGTTTCCTGCAAACAACAAATGTTAATTATTCTCCTCTTCAATACTTCTACTAATTCTCTATTTCTACCAGTTAATGATCCAACATTCTAATTACTTATTCTTACTTTGTATCTATCTTTATCCCTTATACACGAGTCCAGTCTAGAATTAAATTGTGCTGTTCTTACACCGTCGACACTACAAGCGTTGGGTAGACCTGTACACATGACTGGTGAAACAGCTACCGCACAAGTTGTCCAGCTGGTATCAAACACTTTATTCCTTAGGCCTTCTCCATTTTTAACTACTTTATTCCCTCTCACCTGTTGTCCCCGCTTACATCCGAGATGGGACAATTCGCCGAAGTTTTGTTTAGGATACCTCATACTATTTGACAAAAATTTTACGCCAGCTGTCGCAACCTCATTAGTCGCCTCTTACGACTGGGAGAGGGGCCATGGAAGTATTCTTATCCCCTATCCACTGGGATAAATAAAAATATACTTCTAAAGTTTTAATTTTTGACTAGAATTATTTCCCACGAAAGTCAATTAAAAAGGAAGAGGAAAGGAAAAATGGCAATTTTTATTTAAATTGTCATTTAAAGTAAAAAAAAATAATAACAGTTGATATTAACTCATGAACAATTAATTTAAAGATTTGAGAAAATACTTTTTAAACCATATTTTTTATAAAAAAAACATGATAATGAATTCATTGAAGTTAAAAAAATGTTAAATACTGATGACATGAAACCATTTATGTAATTATAAACCATAATTTTGTCATGATAAAAACTTTTATTCTAGTTATTGGTGATAGAAATCATCCATGAAGTCTGGTTTTATAAATTCCATTATTATTTATTACTTTCACAGTACTGGATGCATATATTATATAAGATTAGATGCTCAAATATATTAAACAAAAATTATTTTTATTGAAAATTCATTATTCTTAAATATTGTCATAAGTAAAAAAAAAAAAATGATACAATATAATTGAATTTCGGAATTATTCAGTTATTAATAAATTCAGAGAATTACATATATTTAATAATTAGTAAATAAGATTACATGATAATTATAAAAATTAATTTTTTATAAATGATAAAATAATTTTATTTATTGTACTTTCAGGAAATTTTAGCTGTTTACAAGTAGATTTAATATTCAGTAGAGACAAAACATTTTACATTTCCACGATATTTATCCCAAGTTTCATTTTAGTAACTTCATCATTTATAACTTTCTTTTTAGAGTGGAATGCAGTACCAGCCAGAACTATAATAGGTTAATTTTATATATTACATTTTAATTAAATTTGTGTTTTTCAATTATAAGATTTTTATACGTAGGTGTAACAACAATGTTGAATTATTTTACGACATCCAACAGTTTTCGACGAACTTTACCGGATGTTGCTAATCTAGTAACTATGAACGTTTGGGATGGTGTGGGCATGTTTTTTGTGTACGCAAGTTTTATAGAATTCGTTGTTGTAAATTTCATTGGAAGAAGGAAACCCAACTTGAAAAATAATCGTTCTGAAAAAAAAGAAAAAAACTATTTAGTAAGAATTAATCATATATTCTGAAATTAATTAATTTAGGAAAATTGTGGTTATAAATTACTGAATCAATAAATTATTGATTTCTGTTTGTAATATTCATTTTTTTTAACACAAATAACAGTACATTAATCTTCATATAATTGACCAAAAATTAATAAGTATTAAAAAAGTTTAAAAATTAAAAATAGAAGCCAAAAATAGCCCTAATTTTAACTTCGATGAGAAGCTGAGAAGTTATTAATTTTACCATATTTTTTTTGTTTTATGTCTGTTGCCACATTTTCTCAGCTCCTACTGGAACGATTTCTTTCAACAATACGTCAAAAGATCACAAATTGTATCTAGTTAAAGACATTACCCTTAAAAATTGAAAAAATTTTCCTCGTTCCCTGTAAATGGGGGAAATCTCCAAAAAAATTACAATTTTTAAAATCAGTAAATTTTGTCATTTTTTTCACTTTTTTTCTTAAAACTGCCATAACTTTTTCAAAAATCAACAAATCAACATAATTTTTTTTTATACTAAAACCTTAGATAATTTCCCTTTCATTTGATATCATTTTTTTGAAAATCTAACACTTATTCTTCTCACAGGGGGGGGTTTAAAATTGCAACTTTTTTACAAAAGCTAACTTTTTCAACTTAATTTTTGAAAATGTTCCGGAAATACTGCGTCCTTTAAACATATATAAAGTTAAAGCTTATTTTATGTACTATAAAATAAAAAAAAAAAATTTGACCCGACACTTTATCTTCTGCATGCAAACGGCTGCCGTAGTTATAAAAACGTTATTTTTGTGTTAAAATTTTCGATTTTAAATATTCAACTTAAAAATGCTATAACTTTTCGAAAAATGTATGTATCAGCACAATTTTTTTTTTCTAAATACATTATAAGTACATCTTTCATTTGACATACTGTTTATTAAAATTGGACAATTTCTCCTTATAAAGGGGACGTTCAAAACTTGAAACATTGCATAAAAATTTAACTTTTTCAACTTAACTTTTGTAAATGTTCCGGAAATACTACGTCCTTTAATCATCTTTTATGATCTTTTAAAATCACCTTTTATCGGGATGTTTTTTGTACTTAAAACTGCCATAACTTTTTCAAATATTAACAAATTAAAATATTATTTTTTTGTACTGAAACCTTAGGTAATTTCCTTTCATTTGGTATCATTTTTTTTGAAAATCTAACACTTATTCTGCTCACTGGGGGGATTTAAAATAGTAACTTTTTTACAAAAACTAACTATTTCAACTTAACTTTTGAAAATGTTCCGGAAATACTGTGTCCTTTCAACATATATAAAATTAAAGCTTATGTCATGTACTATAAAATTAAAAAAAAATAATTTTTCCCAACGACCTATCTTCTATGCGCAAATGGCTATCGTTTTCAAAAATATGCTATTTTTGTGTTAAAATCCTGTGTTTTGTATTTTATTTTATTTTAAAATATCTTATAAGGGCAATACACTGACTTTCATGAATATTATATAATTTAATTGACATAGAATAAAGTTCAAAAGACATAAAAAATTAATCTTATTAAAAAATTTTTACTTTTTTAAAGTCGAAATAGTAATTTTTAAATTTGAGTTACTTAATTTGCTAATTTTATCACGCGAATAAAACAACGAACAGTTGGCGAATCGGTAACACTTGTTTCTTCTACACCTAGGGTACGAGGTTCGAATCCGCCGGTGTTTATTAATATTTTACATTTTTTTTGAGTTAGAAAAAAATGTTCATATCATTTAATTTTTATCTCATTTAGATTCAATAACTTCAATAAATATCAAGGATCCCATCACTATAGTCTGCCCTCGTGAGAAGAAATTTCTAATTCATGTTAATATTATTTTACTATGTGATTTTTTTTTGTGTCTAATTTGTGGATATGATAATTTGATATTATAGGTTTCAACAACAAAATTAAATCATTTTACTTTGTAATTTCATAATACATTTACTCTATTTGTGTGTGCTATTACTAGATTATAATATTCCAAAATTGTTGGTTAGTTTCTCCTGAATTCATCATTATTAATTCAGGAGAATTTTATAATTATAATCAAATTTTATAATAAGCTCAATTGAGTAAATCTTTTTACCAAATTTTGTTTTATTGGTTCTTTTTGTTAAAGTAAATCATTAAATTAATTAAGTTCTGAATATTTCCATTGTAGAATCATTTTAAACACTAAAAGTTAATTAGAAATAATTATTATGATTTTTATTTAAGTGATCTATTAAGATAAAAATGTAAAAAAAATCGAACTTTTCTGATAAAATTACTGTAAATAGTAATTATAAAATTTCCTGACTGCATATTAATCTTAACGATTTTCTTTTTTTCTTTTTGATAGTGATTTTAATCACTGTCAGATTAAATCTATACTGGACCCAACTATACCAAGTCCCCACTGTTCCGCGATCCCATTGTGTTATAGTACACTAGGTATATATAATGTACCTATAATAGCAGTATATGTACACAGGCCTGCGGTATATGTCCCACCACTCCTATCTCATACGGTTCCTATAAATATATAACAGCTTTTCTTTATCTATGCATACCAAAAAATTGAAATGACCTTTAGAACATAATAAAATAATATTTAAAACGTCACACTAATTTTATTTTATATATTTTTTCAGGAAAATGAAACCACGTCTTCTAATCTTGAAAATGATTTTCTAGTGAAGAAGCCACAAAACGAGGTAAATTCCTCGTTATACACCCTAAGAAAATCCTCAATCAATTTTGATAGAGAAATTTTATCAAGGGTTTATGATAATGTTTTATTAATACGAACAAAATAACTATTCTTATGAATAATTATTGTTCAAGACAAGAAAAAAATTATCATATTGACAAATATATCATAGGTTCAATAGTAATGATATATTTTTCAAATTGAACAATGAATTTATTATATAGATCGAGGTTTTTCTCTGGGTGTAATTATAACAATTATAACAAATTTCCAATAATATTTTGAAGTTTTATTGTTTCTAAATGTAAAATGTAAATGTAAAATCCCATAATTATGATCATGGTTATAATATAAATAATAATTTGCCTTACAAGTTAGTATGAAATAAGAAATGTTATTTATATCATTTATACTTACTATTTGTAATTTTTTCAAAAATTGAATAAATATTCATAATTTTCTTACTAAGTAAAATTCTATACACGATTCATATTAAGGTAAACATCTTTATGATCATAAGAGCAATAAAAGAGTGACATATCACCGCTGACGGAAATAAGATAAATATTTTTTCATATTAATATAGCGTGGGAAGCATTGCTCTCAACCATCTTTGTATTCCTTAATCATTTAATATGATTAGTACTAATTTATTATATAACATTAATACTACATTAATTATATAAAATTACAAATATATCAATAAATACTTTTTATTCAAGTTAACCGATGGATTTAACATTCAAATAATAAAAATTATACACTTCAAACTCAATACTGATTTGTACAAATCATGTTGTTATGATAATTAATATTACTACTTTAAAGTAGGGTCTGAGACCTTTATGTTTTTAGCGGTTACCTTTTGGTTTCACGCCTTAGAACATTTTTTTTTTAAGTTTAATTATGGTTTTTAGAGGATCTAAATTTAATGTTTTGGTTAAAATCCGATATTAACTAATAAAAATCCTTATTTTGATTTTTTTTTTTTTAATCTTATATTACACATTTTATAAATAAAAGAATTTGGCGTTTTTCCGAAGTTTTATAGATTCAGAGACTTATATTTATATTATACATGTAATTTCAAAATATATTATTCATGTAATTTATTTCAATATTTCAAGCATAAATTATTTATAAAATCATATATATTTTTTGTCTAGAAGAACATTGAACTATTGGTTATTAATAGATATTTAACAGATATAACTATGATTTATCCACTTTAAAAAATGCATTATAAAAGTTTGTGTTAACGAAGAAATTTTAAAATAGTTAACTTTTTAATATACATTTATGTAATTAACCAAGAAAATGTAACTTTACTTTAATTGTAAAAAACTTCTTGATTATTTATTATAAAGTGAAAAAGTATGAATAAATTGACTAAAAACGACAGGCCATTTTCATATTTACGCTAAAATAAAATAACTTGTTCTAAGATAACATTATACTTTTGACATAAGAATTAGGATAAATGACAAAGAACATGTGTTTCGTACTATGTAATTAGTCCAACAGTTTACCTTTTGTTACGCTATCACTTTTTTTATCGATTATCTAAAATACCCACATGATATTTTTATCATTGCAACACATCGATCCGGACAGAAACAATAATTTTCTAGAAATATCCAATAAGCCACGATGTGTCACCATTACAACAATTATTCAAATTTATATCATGACATATATCTAAATATTATTTACAACGATACAATAAGTATAATAAGGATTTTAATCACTGTCAGTATTTAATTTTTAGAAGGAATTATTGAATTATTTAGAAAACAACATGACCTCCTTTCTATTTCCTTATTTGTATCCTGATTACAATTATTATTGTATAATAATAATAATTAGTATTATTGTTTATAATTATAGAACATAAATAAATATGTATTATATTAAATTTTTGTAATAGTAGTATTAAAGTCACAAAAATTATGCAATTATCTTATTAGTCATATTACTGTGCATTAAAAGAAAATATTTTAAACTTTGATCACAATAAAACAATATGTCAATCTAATGATGTTGATCCCGTAATTAAATTTAAAAAAGTATAAAAAGACGGGTTTACATTGTCTTAAACAACACTAGTACATAGAATCTCTCACAGTCACATACATATGAATGGTGTTCAGAAAGTTCAACTGGTTTCTGTTGTTCTCATTGTTTGTAACAGTTGACCTGTTTCTTTACTTTTTGAACATTCTGTATGTATATATATTTGTGTTTCTTTAAGATTATGTTAGTAAAAATACCTTTGGAACACTGAACCCGATGTAAAAAGTAACTCATATAGAATAGGATTAGGCTTAAGGTCATTAGAGTTTCCACTAATCTAAAATCTCTTTAAATAACTACATATATACAATTATCATTTATATTTTTGAGTTACAACAAAAATAATATTAATTTAGTATTGTAATTTTTACGAAGAAATTATAAAAAGTTGTTAAGTCGTTGTTTACAAAGAGATTCTTTTAATATAAGCCAATTGATTACTCTTAAAATAATAATTATATTAAGAAAATTCTGTTCGGTATTTTTTAATTTTATAAATTTCTTGATTTATTAATTATTAAGTTTTTTCAGTTTCACTAAAAAATACCGAACAGAATTTTTTTTAAATAATTATTATTTTAAGAGAAATCGAGTGGATAAGAGTGGTTATTAAAATAATCACTTGTATATTGTTACCTCAATTTATCATAAGCCGTTATTAGCTAGAATTTTTTTTTTTTAAAGGGCAGCTTCCTTCCTTTTAATATTCTTAATGCATTAGTATTAAATTTTTGTAAAAAGGGGTTAAATAAGGTAATTATCCGCTTTCTCTTATAGGCTATATAGTTTGATTTAAAATATAGACAAATTAATAGAAAAATAAAATTAAAATTAAAAAATATAACAATATAAAAAATGATGATTTCTTACAACCAAATCACATATTTTATTTAAATTTAAGGCCGTTTACATAAAGAATACAAGGTATCGAGACAATTTTTTTGTAACTTATGTACATAATATAAGCTTTTATTTAACATAATATTAAAGCTTAGAGTATTTCCGGAACATTTTCAAAACTTAAGTTGAAAATATTAAATGTTTGTGCAAAAGCTACTATTTTAAATCCCTCTGTTGGTCAAATTATAAAAAAAATTATACCAAAAGAAAAGGAAATACCTATACTAATTACATAAAAAAATTATTTTGTTTCGTTCATTTTAAAAAAGTTAAGGCAGTATTAAGAAAAAAATTTCAAAAATTACCGATTTTAAAAATCAACATTTTTGAGGGGATTTCACTCATTTAGAGAGAACGAGAAAAATGTTTCCAGTTTTTAAGAGCTTATTCTTCAACTATATATGATTTATGGTCTTTTCACGTATCGTTGAAAAAAATCGGTCAGGTAATAGTTGAGAAAAAGTAGCAACAGACACACCAAAAATTTCCCTTGATACTCCATAATTAAGTATATATATTCCATAATATTAGTATTACCTCAAAATAATTAAAATAGAATTTAATGTAACCTTCTTTTATTTTCCAGCACGAACAATGCAAAAAAGTTCTATCAGATTCCATTCGTGTAGCAAAAACAATTGACAAGATAGCTCAAATCACATTTCCTTTAGGATATGGAATATTTCTAATATTTTTTTTTGTTTATCATTATATTAATGTTACCTACCAAAGTATTTCTTTATAAGACACTCATAACATTTATAAAATGTGAAAAGTATTGTTAATATATTTTACTAAACATCTTTTAAGTTTCAATTGTAAAATAAAATTTAGAACAGTTGCGGATCTAAGAGGAGTCGTAAGGACACAATCCATTATATCTATATATATTTTATATTCTAATATTGTGTATAAAAAATATTTTCCAGAAGTATTGTACTAAGTAATAATATATATTAATTACAAAAACGCTCAGTTAATTCGATCGTTTTTATTTATACTTCTTACACACCCAAAGAAAAACCTCAATCAAAATTGAAAGAGAAATTTTATCAAGGGTTTATGATAATGTTTTATTAATACGAACAAAATAACTATTCTTATAAATAATTATTGTTCAAGACAAGAAAAAAAAATATCATATTGATAAATATATCATTGATTCAATAGTAATGATATATTTATCAAATTGAACAATGAATTTATTATATAGATCGAGGTTTTTCTCTGGGTGCACTAATGAAAAAAGTCAAGCTTATGTAATGAATAAACTATTTCCAAAAAACAGTAATTTAAATGCCCGTTTTCGTTTAACTTGGCTAAGTTAAATTTACCTACGTTTTTAAAAAATTTAAATTGTATAATACATGTCAATAACGGACATGTATAGGTAACATCTTAATTATTGAAATTACAAATTAGTTAAATAACATCAGAGAAAGTAATGATTTTATTTGTCCTTGCACTTGAACTTCACTTGTGTTTCCCTTTCAGCAAATAACATAAAAAATAGGAGAGTTTATGTCCATTAACATGTGAACGGCGGTGGAAAATATTTCTATGCATATAGACGTTAATGAACATGCGCAAAAAGTGTCGGTGCAACGCGCAAACTCGTCATAAATACGTATTCATTTTATAAACTAATCGTGTAGTAGTTCGGCGCGCAGTTGAATTTTTTGCACAACTTACGCAATACAAGTCCATAAGTTAATTTTAACCCTTCCAAAAAATCATACAACTATATATAATTGTATTATTATTGATTCAAGCTACATTTCTTGTATCTTAAAAGAAGTTTGGTAATTCTGAGTTGAAGCATTCAACAAAATGGAAGACGGTGAGTAAAAAAATTACATTATTATAAATTGATGTTTTTTTTTTGTAAAGAATTAAGTAAATATCAACATTTTAACACTTAATTATTTTAGTTTAACTATGAAATAATATCAATATGTAAGTAGGATTACTTTTTGTTGGACATAAAACTTCGTCATGCCGTAGATATGTTAAAATTAATAACTATTTTTAGAATCATAGAATTTCACTAGTTCAGAAATATGCTCTATGTACACTGACCTTGATATTTATTGAAAAATTACACTATTAACTATTTTCTTATCGTCATAGGTTCGGTACATTATGCATTTATTTATAAAGCTTATTTTAGTCATCTCGAATTCATGTTTTCCTTTACCTTAATTAACATGTATAATTTATAATTAACATCAAGAGGGATCATTCTCCCCTTATAACAAAAAATGTTCCTATAGTACTGTATAGACCTATGATAAAATTTCATGGCGTTGGATGTATCGGATGTCGTACAAACATATTTATAAATGTTCCAAACCCTAGCCATAACTAATATACTGAAAAAAAAATTGAGGGCACATACACAGACCTTAAGAAATATTGTAATAAAAGTTTATAAAACTCCAGAAGTTATATAAGAAGGGATGAAATCGCACATTTTACGGTATTTGATATAATTAATAGAAAATTAATTATTTCGACAAAATATAAAATATTATTTTGTAGAACCTCCACAAAATTAATTTTTTAAAGATTTTAGGTTTCAGTCCATCCCTATACAAAATGTTTCTTTTAACGCTAACCACTCAATTTATCATACAAAAATAATTCTGTTAAGAAATTTTTTTTTCGGTATATTTAAATTTCATGTATTTTTTTATTTATCAGTTATTAATTGCTTTTTTAATTCATCCGTTATACCTTATAAGGGTGTCAACAAAAATTTAACTAGACTAAAAAATAAAATGTGATCTAACTGAAAATTACTGGGTCGAGAACGCTTTTGGACTAGTACTTGAAAAGCCATTATTATATTTATACGAAAGCGGGGGAGAGGTACATCCGAAAAATATCTAATGTACAAATTGTCATACACACGTCTCACTTCCGGTCTATATTTTAAAATGGTAATGACTTTCGAAATAATGGGACAAAAGTTGTCATTAATTATATTACATGAGTAAGTTTTTAGTACCAAATTGTAAATCAACAAGGAAAATCGTATGATTTTTTTATGTTTTACCAATTTTACTATAAATTTTAAAATTATAAATATTTTTCGTTTATTAATTTTAAAGCAATTATGACCTACGTTTAAATTCGCGAATCGGTAATAAAAAATCTCATTATATATAACGAGAAGAGCATAGCTGAACTGAAGACCAAGATTTTTGTTGTTGCCAAGAATGTGTCAATATATTCACTATTTATTATTTAATGACTTTTTAAACATTTTTTTTTCTAGCGTCTAAGCAATATCTAATACGTGTCAATTTTATTGTCCATTGTACTGACAGAATTAATTTCGCTAGCAGAAATTCATTTGATTTTCCTTGTACTAAAAACATTTGATAAAAATAAACCGCTTTTTCAAAAAATATTTCACAGTTAATAGTAGAAAAACATGTTATTCTCGTTTTAATTGCAATTCTACATGAGTGAATGCTAAATAACGATGCTATAATTTTTATTTTATTTCTGAATCTATTTGAATAATTATTTTCCTGTTATTTGAATCTAATGAGTCTAATATTTTATCTCCAACAAAGATATCAATGAATTATCATTATGGTAGTAAGGGGGTAATCGTAAAATAAAAAGTTAGTAGTTACACACGACCACGCCACGTGAGCATGCGCAAGTAGACCGTTTCCTATAACGTGCCGGTTGGGCGTGTGCCGTCACGTTGTGGACGGGCGGTTATCTCCATTTGAGTTTGTCGTCGAATAAAGCGACAGGCTCGCCGAGCAAAATATATTTCTCCTATTTTATCGATATTTGTTTACCCGAAAATCACCCTATCAGTTTGTTTAGCACACTAGCGTTAAATTCATTTTGTTCGCCCTGACACTTGGTCTTGACCAGGTTAATTCAAAACGTTATCGGCGTTGTTGGTAACTGATGAGTAATGTCTAAATAACTAAACAACTCACGTCTTTACCGTGTGGGCATTCGAACGGCTACCGTCTCCGATCACGTGCCAGTGGTGGGTGGTGGTGGTGGTGTGTGTGTGTGTGTGTGTGTGTGTGTGTGTGTACCTTTACGTGACTGACGGGCGGTCGCTTCTACTCGTGTTTGATGTCTCGTCGAATGAGACTAGACCTATAAAAAATGTTGATGCGTACAGCTAATAATAATAGTAGGTTATGCAATGAAAGCATCACGTTTAATTGTATTTGCAGGATCTGACATAGTCTGTCGTTTCAACAACCTCACACCACGGAAATAAAGTAATAGGTAGTAGCACAGAAACGTGTTGCTACTTATTATGATTATTATAATAAGTTGTAGATCGGAAATTTCAAAATTCTTACCTCCCTAGTTAGTTTATATGATTTCCCTTCAACTATTGAACGACCTAAATAGTTGACATTTGACCAATCGTTAACTTTACTAAACTAGTAGTTAAGTTGTTCAACAAACTTTACTAATAATGTGAACTTTATATATTTTTTTTTTATTGTTCCCCAGTTTACACTTATGTTGGAAAAGAAGTTTTCTTTTAAATTATATCCTATTCCGATATAATTTACGATGCGAATTTCTCTTATTAATTATTTTATTTCCACATCAAATATATATTTCTATAGTTCACGACATTTAGAATTTTTTATCGTTTTAACGCTCACTATTCATATTAACATGTTAAATCGTTAATTTTAAAACAAATGTTTAAAACTCGATTTAAACTAATCAAAAAAATGTATTGTATTTTGATTTAAACATTTAAAAGATACCCTTTGTTAAACTTCCAAAAATTATTATTATTTTTTTAAATAAATCTATGTACTATTATATTTTTATAACTAAAATATATTTTTTAATTTTAGAATAGATAATTTTTTAAGCAATTTTCAAACAAAAAAATTTAATCGGTTGATTGTTTAGTTATAATCATTTAAATACATAGGTTTAATACACTGATCGTACTAAGGTATATTTATTAATTATGTACAGAGTGATTTTTTTATCATAACCCACTCAATTACTCGCAGAATAATAATAATTTAAACATTTTTTTTTATTATTATCTTTAGTTACACATTATTCTTGAATTTTTAACTATGTAATACTTTTTAAGTTCATCCCTTATGCCTTGGAGGGGGGTCAACTTTGTTTTTTTAAATGGTAACACATATTTTTAATTTAATAAAATGTTTGAGTTTTTAATTTAATAGTAAATGGCATTTGAATTTTTAATATAACTTTATTAGCTTATTAGATATAAACATTTAAAGTTTCAAAATTTTGAGTTAATATACATGTATAATACACATGGGATTGTAAATACAGGTAGCTAATTGGATTTTTATGACATTGCTGTCTCAGTCACGGATTGTTTATTATCAATTATGATTATCAATAGATATACTTTCTGTATTGTCAGTTAGTGTATTTATAAACTCATAACAATGTGCCTTACTACAATTGATAATAACAATGCTGTGTACCTGCTAATATCGATGTTATAAAAAACCAATTAGCTACCTATATTTGTAATCCCTTGTGTATTATACCTGTATATTAATTCAAAAATTTGAAACTTTAAATGATTATATCTAATAAACGAATTAAGTTATATTAAAAATTCAAATGCCATTTACTATTAAATTAAAAACTCAAACATTTTATTAAATTAAAAATATGTGTTACCATTTAAAAAAACAAAGTTGACCCCCTTCCAAGGCATAAGGGATGAACTTAAAAAGTATTACATAGTTAAAAATTCAAGAATAATGTGAAACTAAAGATAATGAAAAAAAAAATGTTTAAATTATTATTATTCTGCAAGTAATTGAGTGGGTTATGATAAAAAAATCACCCTGTATATTTATAACGTATATTTCACTCGCGTTACATACCCACTCTATGTATTAAAATGCTTGTAATTCAATAATTACTTATCCTAAAGTTGTAAACAACCCATCAAATTTTTATGCTTAAAAATCGTCTATTTTAAAATAAAAGAAACTTTTTTTTTTTAATTTTAATATAAAACTTATGATGATTATATCCTTTGCTTGAGTGAAAAAGCACTATTACTCTTCCCATTTTGGTTTATGACATCTCGTGTTTTTAGTATAGGAATACCCAATCCATTCTTTTATTTTCATCTATACCAGCGATCCTCACTACGCGGCCCGCGGGCCGCATGCGGCCCTTGGAACGTTTTTTTGCGGCTCTCGGACTGACTGTTAAGGATAGTTATACCAACATACATTTTAGAGTTATTGAAATAAATATTTTTTTGGAAAAATATTCAATACTTTATAAATAGGTTCCAGTATATATTTTATATTTATATAACAAGTTTATGTACGGGTAGCAATTACGAAATGATTATCTATTATTAACGGTAATTCCCAGAATGCCTCGAACAACAAATGAAATATCTGACCTCGACGATTGCTCGGTCGTCAGTTTTATCTTAACTGTTTGTCAACAGTGGAGAGTTTTATCTAGCTCAGTGCAAACATGTATTAATGTGATTTTAGTGCGGCTAACTTTATCAATTGAACAAATTATTTTACGAACATAACACTTCGTTCGGTGATTGAATTTTGTAAATAAATATGGCGGGAGTGTACTCAAAAGAGCGGAAACGNAAAGTCTGACCACAGATAAGATAAAAAAAATAAGGTAGTTGTTTTATTTTATCAATGGTCTTATTTCTGCTAATCAGTTTGATATATAAATTTTTAATGACATAGTACGCAAACTTGAATTTCTTATATTAGTTTTGTTTAATTTTATAATTTCAATTATATATTTTATATTAAAAATATTGTTCAAGAGATTATGTAGTTTAAAACACAAAAAACTGTTTTTTATTATTATATTCTTAATTTGATTTTTACCTACTCTGATATTAACACCAAATAATATGTAGTGTTTAAATATTCTTATCTGTTGTTCAAAATATTAACTATAACAATATTAATTTATAAGTGTAAATTATAATGCAAAGAAAATAGTGCAACACAAAAAAAGAAAAAGATATAATTTGAAAAACTAATAAATGACCATAGTAATTTTTTTTCTATATGAATGGTATATAGGTATGGTATTTTAGAGTTTATAAGGGAATAATTAATTTTTAGCATTTAATTAAATAATTAAAAAAAAATGTTTTGTTTATAGGAAAAAAAAAGTCAGTTGCAATTATTGGAGCTGGGGGAGCTGGTTTGCCAGCTATTAAATATTTTTCTGAAGATCCATCTTATGAATGTGTTGCCTTTGAACAAAACAGTTCAGTTGGTGGATTATGGGTGTATACCGAACAAACCGATACTAATGATTACGGTATCCCTGTTCATTCTGCAATGTACAAGAGCCTAAGGTAAACATAAATTTACCAAAAGTTTAATTTAAATTGTAGTCTTGAAATTCAATAGTATTTATCAAAATTAAATAATCTATGCTGACCTGTTATTTTACTTATTTTTATTGAAAATTTATTTAGAACAAATTTACCAAAACAAGTTATGGAATATCCAGGGTTTCATTATAAAAACGATGATGATTCATACTCGGATGGTGATATTGTGCATCAATATTTGGAAGATTACGCAGTACATTATGGATTAAAAAAATTCATTAAAGTAAGAAATTAAAATCTAAAACATAAGTAATTTTTTAATTTTATTATGTTATTAGTTTAATCATCATACTAAAGAGGTCCGTCCTTTGGAAGGTGGCCGTTGGCGAGTTACAGTCTTGAATTTGGAAACAAAAGTTGAAGAAATTATGGATTTTGATCAAATACTAGTTTGTACCGGGTAAATATATTCTATAAAATAGTTATTTGTTTATTTTGCTAAAAATTAATATATAAAATTTATTTAATTACAAAATTTTAACTTGCAGTAATTTTTGTCATCCACAAATACCAAATTTTGAAGGCTTGGAAAATTTTAAGGGTATAAAAATACATAGTTTTAAATATAGAAAACCCTCTATATTTAAAGATAAAAAAGCAGTTGTTGTTGGTTGTGGATCTTCTGGTCTGGATATTGCATTTGAACTTTCTAGTGTAGCCTCAAAAGTAATACATATTTTTTTAAAATTCTAATTAGCGCATTAAAGTAAAAATTTTAGTAATAGAAATATCTTATTTTGTGATTTAGGTATATTTTAGTCACCATAATGATGGATTAAACAGATATCTTGCAGATAAAACACCTCCAAACCTCTTATTAAAAGGTGATATAAAAAAAATTGTAGAAGATGGTGTGTATTTTGTTGATGGTTCATTTGAAACGGCCGATGTTATAATATTTTGCACAGGTAAAACAAAAAAAATTTTACAGTAATATTATTGTTAACTTTACTTTTCTTGTTAACATATCAATACCTCTTAAAAAAATAGAGGCAACTCAATTTTGTTTTCCTTTTTTGCTTTTTAATCAATTTTTAAATAACTTAAAATCCTGTTGCTTGAATACAAAATTTAATAAGTCACAAAAATGAGATTTTGGAATTATTGATTGTATTTATTAAAATGGGTGATATCTGTCATTTACCAAAAAATAGTAAACCTATTACTTCAGTATAGTATGCATGTTTTATGCATTTGAAAAATATTAAATTACACAAGCTGCCAATGAAATTTTAAATTTGTTTTTCTCCCTCGAAAAATTACTAAAAATAACATCAATTTTTGAAAAATGGGCATACATTTTTTTTTAAATCAAATTTTTGAATATTTATTTAATCATTTAAATATTTTTATAATCTATAATTAAAGTTTCCAGAAAAATAAAAAAAAACTAATATACATAGTATTGGTTAAACTTTAAAAACGGTTATATTTGTTTGGTGTTGTAAATAGATTGATATAGATTTTTTTATTTTTCATTTATAACTCCTAATGTATAGATGTATATGATCTTAAATTTAGATCATTACTAAAAACGTGCCATAAGAATTCTTAACAAGATAGTTTCAAACCTTATTTTTGTAATAAAAAACCCAATACAATGTGTGTAGAGCATAGTTGGGACAAGTGTTGATGATATCTAATGATTAACATCACTATCATGAAATATACTTTAATGCGAATCTTTCAAATTTCACAATAATTTGTATTATTTTAATTATATAATTGCTGTTTTAAAATTTCACCCAAATATTAAAATATAATAAAAATAATCAATTGTGGTTAATATTATTTTAAAAATTTTGATTTAAAACAAAATAATATTAAAGATATTTAATATCTTATAAACACATATTGTCTTTATGCACGAGGGAAATTTTTTCAATTTTTGAGGGTAATGTCTTTGACTAAATACGATTTGTGATCTTTTGACGTATCGTTGAAAGAAATCCGTAAGGTGAGAGCTGAGAAAAAGTAGTAACAGACAAAAAAAAACACATCATAGTAAAGTTAATACCTTCTCATCTTCGATGCAAAGCTAAAATTATAGTCAAAATTTATTTTGTTTATTATAGTGTAAACATAATCAATTATATACACTCAGCAGTTATGAGCATCTATTCATTTCAGTACAATTTTAGCATCAAATTTAACCAATAACTTGGGACCATTTGGCTTTAAAGACAAATGCTCCATAGGAAAAATTATTTTGAAATGATTTTATTTTTTCCATCATAAAGTACTTTTAACAAATATTTTTTATTCAAGTTTCGATCATGATATGTTCAACAAGATTAAAATTAGGTTTTTTGGACATATTGATCATTAAAATCTGTCATTGAACAGCTGAGAATTTTCATTGACAAATATGAAAAACCCAAATTATGGTAAAACCTTCTCAATTTTGCTCTGCAGTTAGAATAGATTTAGATTATTATACCTCTTAAGTCAGATATATATATTTATTATCTAAATTAGGGTCACAATAAAGAATAGTGCCACTAACAAGTAAGTGCTCAATTCTGTTGTCTGAATGACCTTTTTATTTTGCTTATCAAAACATACTATTTTATTAATATTTTTAAATCTGTTTCAAAAAAGGTCTTCAATTTTATAATTTATATTTCAGTACTACCCTTGAAACCTTGAGTTCAAGGTATCTAGTGCTCCCTAGATCCTGAACTGAATGTTTTATTAAATACCTATTTTGAAAATTTATTAATAAAAATTTCCCTTATTTTTTATTGAAATAATGAATTTGAAGTAACTAATAATTTTGGTACAAGATAATTCAAAATAAAATTACTCTTATGTAAACAGTTAGCGGATAAAGTCACAAGTCATAAAGATAATTTTTTTGTTTATCATGTACCACCATTTTTTTATGACTTTCATGTAATATTTTCCTTTCAATGCATTTTTAAAAAAAAAAAACAATTTTAAAATACATTTTTTATATGTTAAAAAATGAACAACTACCAGTACATTATTCCTATAATTATCAATATATTTGACTTAAAATTATTCAAATTAACATCCAAACACTTTCTATATTAAGTTTTTAGTCAAACTTAAGACTATAATGCACCAATTTCAGAACTACTTTCATGTAAATATAAAAGTAGTTCTTAATTTGTTTGATTTTATTTTATTGTTACATCTCGACATTTATTTTAATACCACAATTTACAACATTTAGTGCACTCTGTATTAATTTTTACCTAATTGTTGGATATGAATTATTAAAAAAAAATTTCACAATGTTTAGCATTAGTGAGAAAATTAAAATATATTTATAATTAGACATAAACAAAAGTAATTAATCATTGTGCATTGTGTATTTACTATATTGTAGGTTACAAATTCAATTATCCATTTTTAACTCCGGAGTGTGGTATTCATGTAGAAAATAATCACATTCAGCCATTGTTTAAGCATATAGTCAACATTGAGCATCCAACAATGTGCTTATTGGGAATTCCTATAAAAACAGCTCCATTTCCATTGTATGACTTGCAGGTATAGACATTTTAAATAAATACATTGCCACACAAAAAAATCTAAATTTAGGTCTAAAGATCGGACTGAATTTTCTGTTTTTGTAGTCACTTAATCTGAATCTGAGGTATAAAAAAAACCCAACATATCATGGTTTTGAAAATCCTTCAAAATCCTTGTAATCTAAGCTACTAAACATTTTAATATTTTAACTTAGTCGTATATTAAACAAAAATCAGTTCAATCCATAAATCTTATTTACTCTAAAAAACAATGGTATATAGACTATTAGCCTTACCCGATGTATGCTGTAAAGAGGTTGCACAACTGTATTTTGTACTACTTGGTCTTACCTCCAGAACCAAAAATAAATATTCTTTTTGTGTGAAGCTGTGATTATGTTAATTGATTTAGTTAATTTGTCAAAAAAACTAATATATTATGCAACTATTTAATAATTATTAATTTTATTATATAGGCACGATTTGCTAAAAAAGTTTTATCTGGTGCTAAAACTCTTCCCAGTAAAGAAGATATGCTAGAAGATACTCGTAAAGATGTTGAAGCAAGATTAGCTAGTGGTGCTCGTCAAAATGATCTACACGATTTGGCTATTAAATCTAAAGATCATTTTGATGATCTAGCTAATTTTGCAGATATCGAGCCCATACCTACTGTAGTTCTTCGAATATTTTGTGAAGCAATTATGAGAGTCAGAAATGATTATTTCAACTTCCGAAAAGATCATTACAAAATTGTTGACAATGTACATTACATGGTTAAGTTTGCAAATGAAGAAAATGCAATAACCAAATAAATCAAGTTATTTCCAAGAATGGAATTACTATTATTAGAAAACATAAACATAATATTGCAATTTTAGTTAAACAATTTTATTACACATAAAAGTAAATTTTTAGATTTGCTAACTTTTTTATTTATAAGAATTGTTGTTAATATAATCTCAGAATAGATAGAAAAATGAACGATAAAAATTAGAAGGCTTTCTTATACTAAACAAAATGTAAATGTAGCAAAAAAAATATTTGATATTTCCTAAAATTTATATATTTTCCTTTTTAAAGGCTAAAATGACAATTCTGGTAACCATATTATTTTGATAATTCACATAATAACCATGTATGTAAAAATCACCATTAAAAATGTTTATAAATATATTTTTATGGTGAATTTTATGTTCAAATATTAATTATTGTATTTTACTTATTTGTTTTTAACCCAGAATAATTATTATTATTTATGAAAAACTTAAAATTATATTATTTTTGTTTTGTATTTTTTTTACTATTTTTAAATATAATGGTATTGTATGTATTTTAAACTAGTGTACTTTAATTATAATTTATGAGTAATACTTATACATTATTAAATCTCCTTGCATATTATGATTTATTTTTTATTTCCATCAGTAATTCTTAAAACCATCAATTTATTTGGTCAATAATATCCCAAAAATGTTATTTTAAGTATTTTTACAGTTCTTACATTTTATACTAGGAAATTAAACAACTAAAGAGTATATAATTCTCATTTTAAAACGTCATGAAAAAATATTTGCAATATTTATACCTTGTCAGTAGCTTATTTAATATTTCAGGTTTGGGACAATTTTCAATTTATGAAAAATATTTTTAATAACACTAAAAAATTTAAGTAATGATATTATGATCCCTTTTGAGATACCTCTTCTTATGATTGTCCAATCTTGAAAGTTTTTAAAAATCCTGATTTCATTGTCACCTTAATTTTTATACATTATTAAAAAATTTAATTTCTATGTATTGACTACTGTTAGTTTTAATAAAAATAAAGTACTTTTTTATTATTCATTTATCTATTTTCTATTGCTATAACTATTTCAATAATTTTAAATAAAATCAAAGTACATTTACTTTATTTTTAATGTGTGGATTTGGAGTATGCATTATAAATATAGAAGCAATACGAACTGTATTCACCTACGTTAAATATCCAATCTATGTATTTAAATACTAAAAAATGTTTTTATTATTGACCTATTCAAATATTTAGAAAAATAAAACTAAGAAATAGCTATTTTGATATTTCAGATAAATAAAATTTAATTTTTATATTTTTCTCGTTAGAGACAATTTAAAAAAAAATATGCTTTAAACGTAGTCTGAAATTGTAAAACTTATTTTTAAAAAAATAACGCAAATTATTCGTTGGGTCAAAAGTTATTAAAGATGTCAGAATCATTGAGCAATGTATTACTCTATGGTCGGAACATGGTAGGACATTCTGTAGATTTCATTTATTAATCATTTTCTCCCCTCTGTTGGTGTTCGTTTATCTCGCACTACAATATTCTATTTTCTCATATATTTTAATACTCAATTATAGAGATTATATACAATTTATAACTGTAGACAAAGATTTAAAGGTAATGAAACCATCGGTTGTTACGCATATTTCGTTTGTTATTACATTTGGTGGGATCTAGAATACAAAAATTAGTATTATTATAATTATAATATATATATATATATATTATTATAATGAGTATTATTTATGACGTACGTATTACGTCAAACGAAAAAAATTAAAATTAAAATAATTATAATTTGATAAGGTCATCTGAGTTATATCATTTGAAAAATTAGTATACACTCTTATATTTTAGCCTAGGATCTAGACTAAATTAGACTTACTGGGCCGTGGTTCAGGCTAATGATGCCCCGAGTTTAAAATCAATATTAAACATTTTTACATTACTATGATAATTTTAATATTTAAAAATATTAATTGTTGATCGTTTAAATAACTCTATTCGCAGTCATACAACAAATCAATAAATACTCCATCACAATTACCCTAATGGTATTCTAATACAATATTTGTCAGTACATTTTTAGGCGGGATAATGGTCAAAACTGTCCAAGGTGAAAATATCTCTTTAGAGAGACATTTTTTAAAGATACGTTGCAGTTATATTTCAATTATATGAGATAGTATATACATTTTTTTACACACGTACCATACGTTGCATAAACTTGAGACCCTTCAAAATAATTTGAACAAAAAATGCATATAACTCCAAGTCTTAATTATCATTAAACCATAAATTACAAACTTTAATTTAATTTAAAATAAAAAAGCATTGAATATTTTTGTATCTATATTTAATATAATCATGGTAACTTAGGAAAAATGAAAAATGAATTTATATAAAATGACGAAATTATATGTGAAAATTATAATAATAATTTTTTTTATCTATTTAATTTTTTCCTTATTTATATTAGTATTTATTCTTGAGACCTTTTAAGACAGTTATAAAAGTTATTCCAAAAATTTATTTTCTATACATTTGTCCATCCTAAAATTGTTATATTTTAAATAATATTTTTATAACATCACCTAAATAATTAGGCACGTCATATTTGAAGACATATTTGATCTCTATTCACATATTTTAATCTATTTTAAAGATTATCTATTGTAATATGAATTATTGGTGTAATTTCATTTTTCAAGTTGTATGTCATATTTTTCGATTTATTAAGAAGTCTTTCAAGGTTGCCGCTGGTCATTATGAAATGTTATCAGTGTGTTTTGTTATCAGTATCATATTTAATTGCAACACATAGCGAAATGTCTCTGCTATGAGTACGCAGTTATTAATTTAAACCGTTATGTATTAATCGTTAATATCTCGCTTACTTTTTATTTCTTCTTGCAAACTTTCTCTACGATTTTCGCTTCTACAGATTAATACTAAGTACATAAACAGCACTAGAAATCACATTTTATTAAATATTTAATTTCAAATTTTTTTAGTGTACCATTGTGATTTTATTAAGTTTATTCACTATTGAAAACCATTAAAAGAAATGTTGAACTCCAAAAAATCTGTTTGTATTGTTGGCGGTGGGCCAGCAGGTTTAGCAGCTTTAAAAAATTTTGCTGAATCAGACTCCACGTTTAACTGTACATTATATGAAAAAATTGACAGTTTAGGAGGAACTTGGGTTTATACAGATAATGTAGATGTTGATCAATATGGTTTACCTGTGCATTCGAGTATGTATAAAAACCTCAGGTGTGTCCCCGTTAAAATTACATTAAAAAAATAAAATGTTTTATTCATTTAAAACATACATATTTTAGGACAAACTTGCCCAAAGAAATCATGGAACTTTGTGACTTTGAACACAAAAATGTTGGTAATCAATGCTATTTTCCAAGCAAGTACATGGAAAATTATATAAATGATTTTGCTGATCATTTTGATTTACGAAAATATATTAAGGTACTTTGTTTGAAGAATTATAAAAATGATAACTAAACTTAACTTGTTTTCAGATTCTAACTAAAATATATTATTTTTTAATTACACTGAATGAATAGAAATTTTTTAGTATTCATTTAACTCCATATCATTAAAAATTTAATACTTATAGAGGATTATAAAAAGAATGCAACAATTTAATTTTAACAGAATCCTATTATAAATAAAGTAGGATGTAATGTTATGTATGTTTTTTAGTACTTGTAGCTTTATAATTAAACAAATTATGATATAAAAATAGCATTTGAAATTTTTTTCTATGATCATAAATTTATTATTAAAACAGATAGTAATAAATTATAAATGTTATTTTATAATTTATTTCTTTTAATTTAAATAAATATTATTAGTTTATTAATTTGCAATATTTTTTTCAATAAAATTTTATTTTTTCTGTAGTTACATCATCATGTGGAAAAAATTAGTCCTGTACATAATGATCAATGGGAAGTAACAGTACTCGATCTAGAAAATAAAATTAAAAGTATTAACACTTTTGATTCAGTCATTATCTGTGTTGGGTATGTCACTTTCTCTTAAGTAATCCATATTTATTTACAAAATACTTATTCTATATTTTTTTATAGTAATTATAGTAATCCTGTTTATCCAAAAATAAAAGGCAGAGAAAAATTTTGTGGAAAAATATTACATAGTCATAGCTATAGAGATGTTGAGTCTTATAGAGATAATAATGTTGTTGTTGTAGGATGTGGTGCATCTGGTTTAGATATATCATTTGGTGTATCTAAAGTGGCTAAAAAAGTATTTACAACTTTAAAAATGTATTCAAGTTATTAAATAATAAAATATTATTGATAAAATTATGTTAGGTATTTCTAAGTCATCATAACCCTAAAATGTTCAACCTAAATGTACCATCTAATTACTTCCATAAGACAGATATCAAAGAACTGGTGGAAGATGGTGTAATATTTGTTGATGGTTCTTATGAGCAAGTAGATGCTGTTATATATTGTACTGGTACGTGAAAATTAAAATATCTGATCATAAGTATGTTAATAATAATGAAAAATCCACTTGAAACTTCTATTAAAAAATTAATTTTAATTTATTGCAATTATAAAAAATATTAGGATACAGCTATACCTACCCATTTTTAACACCAGAATGTCATATAAAAATTGAAAATAATGTGATTAAGACTCTTTTCAAACATATGGTTAATATTGAGCATCCAACCATGGCATTTATTGGAGTTCCTAGAAATACCACAGGATTTTATCTGTTTGATTTCCAAGTAATTTAGTCTTTAAGTAATTAATGATTCTTAAAAATTAAATATTGTATGATTTCAGTCAAAAATATATAAAAAAATCTTAGAAGGGTCAATGAAGTTACCTTCTAAAGAAGAAATGTATAAAAATACGCACGAAGAAGCTGAAGCTCGACTTGCTAGTGGTCAAAGAGAAAAAGATTTTCATCAGCTTGGTAGAACAAAATGGGCAATGAATTATTACACATCAGTTACTAACTTAGCTGGAGTTGAACATCCACCTCCAGTACTACTACAGATTTATTTTGATGGACTCGAAAGACTAAGTCAAGATTTTTTGAACTTTAGAAATGATACTTATAAAATTTTAGATAAAGAGCATTACACAGTAAAATATCATAATAGTGATGAACCTATAGTAAAAAAACAAGTTTTGTATACTTTTTAATTATGTAATAAACACCTTAAGTTTTATTTTATTTTGTAAATTGGTTACATAGTTATCATAGAAAATATATTTTTTATATTATTCATAAGTGTACCATTAAATATGACTAGTTAGATAATAAAAATTGTTATCATTTTTTTTTAAACTTTTTGAACAAATTTCTTATTATTGTTGTATTAATAAAATAGTTACATAAATTGGTGTTTTTGATTTTTAATGGATAACAAATTAGAAAAAGGATTATAAATTTATTTTATTTTATCATCTGATAAATAAAATTATAATGCTATTGATAATTGAACCTTTTTAGATTTTAGTTAATAATATAAACGTGATTTAAATTTATTTTTATATTAAATTTGACAATTAGAAACATAATTTAATTTTAGTCGAATCAATTTTTATTCGCATTATTGCCTTCTTTACTCCCTTACCGAATATGCTACAGTTATTAATGTTAAATAAATAAAATACATCTAAATATCTAAGGCTGACAATCTTTTAAAATAATGTTTAATTGTATAGTTGTATTTTATAAAATAATTCTTTTAAACAACGGCATAGCCTAAATTTTATAATTGGGTTGAGAGAGGCATAGTAAAATTCCATATTTATATTCATTCTTTTGCTAATGACTTAATTATAGAGATGAATATTGGTGTCAATGGGGCGAGTCTAAACCTGTACTCTCGCTACACCACTTCTTTTAAACTATTAAAGTTCTGTATAAATACTAAATTTTTTCTTTTAAAAGATAAAATATCCAGTTAGTTATAATAATAAATAATACTATCAAAACTATACATTGATTGTATTATTTTTAATAATTTATACCCGTTATTAGTATTTTTTTGAAATCCACTTATTGAAAATAATCTTATACAATTATTTACATTATAAAAATCTATCGACACATTACTTCAGGTACCTTCCATTATCAATTCTGCTGATGGACAAAATTTACTATTTAGTACGAGTTATTAAACATTACAATTTTTTATAGATTGCAGAAATTAATCATCTATGAAATTTTAAATTAACATAAGTCTTTTTTAAAAGTCAAAATATGGTTTATAGGTTTATTTATGTCTTTTTATAATTGCATATTATATAATAATTATGTATTAATTATACTTATCATTTAGAGACATAAATGAAAAACGAAAAACTTCTTATAAAATATTAAAACTATTTCAATGAAAATATTTATTACTTTTCTTAGTCATGTTTTAGTATAAAACATTTTTTAAACAAAAAATAAAATATGTTTAATTATCAACTTACAATGTAGATAACTCATATCATATTATAAAAATCAGTGCACTGATCCTTAAATATATATGCAGAGAAAAACGAGGTAAGATGACAAATGGGGAAAGATAACAAATGGGGAAAGATGACGAATTTAATTTTTCTCGAAATCAATCACAAATAGCAATATATCTTTACTAGGATATTAGTCTCTTACGGTACAATTTATTACTCACTTGTAGTAACACACGTACGCGCATGTTAATTTTAAGTGTAGTAAAAAAATCATATTTAATGTATTTTTATTTTTATTCTCATTTATTTCTCATTAATCTCATTCAATCTCATTAATCAAAAATGACAATTATTAAGAAAACTCATATTTCGCCTCTTAGAAGATGAAAGAGACTATTTAAAAATGTGTAGTATTAGGCTAAGTATGTAAGTAGTTATCATGTAAATTTTAGATTTTAGATCCATTCACAGAAGTCGGGAAAAATCGTAGAAGTTTAACCTTGTCATTTTAACCCTAATTATTATAATTACTTTACGATTGAAGTATCACGAATAAAATTGTTCCACCAGTAACTATTTAAGACAGAATATTAAAAATATAATATTATCTCTTTAAATATAAAAAGATATTACATTGCAATTGCTATTAGATATCAATTTTACAAATATTACATTTTCGATAGTTTATGTTCAATTAATGTACTAATTCGAAAGTAACCATCTTTATGCCTATTAAATTTTTTTATTTATTTTCAAAATTTTAGCACAAAAAATCTTTAAACAACATATGAATAAAAAGAAATATAAAAAATAACTCATTACCTTTGGGTTAAGTTTACTCAATCTAATATGACGCTTGTAATAAACTACAACTGTGTATGTTCGTGGTAACACTTGATTAAAAATAATAAGTGTATTTGATTAATTCTTAATAATAATAAAATAATTAAAATTTTTCTATAATAATTATCTAATAATATCTTTGTATGTTTAGGAAAAGTCCGAAGGATCTGAACCTCCACTTGATAAAATGTTTAAAAACCAACTAATTAGAGGTAGGAAATTTCCTATAAGACAAATATTACTTTCAAATTAGTCGAAATTAATTTACTTTTTATCTTATTTAAAATCCATTGAATAAAAATACAAAAAAATTTAAAGGCACTTGTTGATACTTAAAAAAATAAAATACTTAATAATGTTATTGTAGAAAATACAGCAAGGGATTTCTTTGAAACACTGTTGTCTGCTCCACTGGTGGCAGCTAGCAACTCAAAAAAAGTATTTGCCATATGATTTGGTAAATCTAAATATACTTTGTTCGAACCGATGGTGTGCACCAAATTGACTAACTTCGTGTAATCAATAGTATCCTTTGAGTCACTGCACCAAATAGTTAAGGTAGATCCGGCAGGGGAAGTCTCTAACAAGTACTGCAATTCGGTTATGGAATTCATTGCATAGCTAGCTCTAACTGCGTATGTCACCGGTTTCATATGTTTGTTTTTGAATAACACATCAACCATACCGTTTATAAAATGTTCAGAATATTTACCTACAATTAATGTGAAGTATTAAGTATGAACAACTCTAAGTAAGAAAACTTCATTGTGTTCAATGGTAATGTAAGAAAACATTTACACTACCAAAATCGCTACGTTTGGTTGTCCAACCCAATGATAACATAGAATTTGGAAAATTTTTGGCTGAAGCTCGTAAAAAAATATCTGCATCAACTCCTGGATTTCCACCCGGCCCAGGACCAGGAAGAACATCTGCATTTAACCAAGGAGTTCTGTTTGGTGGCAGATTCTACAACAATTTTAGTAAATACATCAATAATTAATCTAACAGTCATTAATAGTTACAAAAACAACAATTATCATATAACTTACTTTGAAAATTCTTTCCATAATTGGTATAGCCATCATAAATGCATCTGTGGATTTAAAATCAAGCTTCAGACCTTTGGTTGTACGATTCCATTCCATCAAAAATTCTTCAAGGCTCAAATCTGACACGACGGTAGGTGGATGACCCATTATTGCAATTCTCTCTTGATTTTCTTCCACGACCATGTCTTCGCCATTTACTAAATAACCAGCTACGACGTCCGCTTCAATCATCGTCGAACTACCTATAAAATATATTTTATTTACTTCTTATTTAAAGGGATTATTTGCTTAAAAAGTGGTTACGATGGATGATTAATGAGAGATACCGTTTTAGAATATTGGAATATATACATAAGATCTGTCCAATTATTAAAAAACCTTATATTTATGATCGATTTAAAGATTAATTATTTTAAATATAATCAATTAATGTTTAAAATTACTAAAAAATATTTAAAAACACCAATATTATTGATAAAACAACATTCTTTAAATTAATTAACATTTAACATTTAGTATGTGTTTAACATTAATAATGGTAACATTGTTTCCAAAATACGTATCCGCGATTTTTTAGTAATTTTTTGTGTCTTTTTGAGTTTATATTTTTAGTTTTAAATTAATAATATTTTTAATTTTAAATAAAACTTTATTACTTTTCTGATAAGAATTTGTTTTTTTAGATATTTTATCTTAATAGAAAAAATAATGGACTTCTTAATGTAATCTATTAATGTTTTAATAGTTTATCACAGACATGGATAAGAAGTAATTCAATAATATTTTTTAATACACAAGTACTCTTAAAGAAAAAATATCTTTTTAATTTAGAATACGTCAAAAATAAAGTTTTCTATATAACTTTTAATTAACTTTATAAGTATTTGTAGCATATATCATACTATAATAAAATAATAATTGTTTTTATATTTATTTTACAGTAAGCGGACAAAACTGATGTGCTATGCACTAGGTGTCCTAATAAACCAAACCCAACTCTACCAAATTTTACATGCTGCTAATATGAATTATCTTTATTTTATAATTTTTTAAGAAAAGTTTATTGAATTTCGAATTAAAGAATATATATTTTTTTAATATAAAATAAAAGTAATCGTATTTAATAAATTATTTATTACAGGACTGTAAATTTAAATTAATTTTATTTTAAAATAATAATCTATTTTTGAGTAAATAATAATTCGTAAACATCTGTTATAATAACTTTGCATTTTGCAATTAAATGAAAAAATACACAAATAAATTTACCACTGACATTATTAAGAAATACTCGTAAATAATTAAAGTATTTTATTTAAGCGTTTTATGAATACATATAAATACGTGTTTAAAATATTTTTTTATCTGTTAAATCATTGTAACAATCATACAATTTTTTAATCATTAGGTACATGTGTATGAGTAACTTTCTAAAAAATAGACTATTTAATACATTGAGACTTTATTAGTGTTATTGGTTTAAATAATAATTAATTATCAGGACAGAATAATGTTATAATTATGACATTTAAAACAAAAAATTGAATCACACAACATTTTTTGGTTACGTTTTGAGAAAACGTTATTCAAAAACAAAAAAAGAAATATGTGATACCAATAAAAATAAAATATCATAAAACATAATACTACTTAAAACAAAAAATAATTCTTGTTAAAACAAAAATTAATTCTTTTTCAGCATTATATTAAAAAAAATCTATATAATAAAAATATATTCACTGACTCTCATTAAACTGCTTATGGTAGTGAATTATCTTCGAACCTCTTTTAACGTTAAACGTAAAAATTATATAACGTTTAACTCAATTATAAGATAACGTTATAATATATTTTGACGTTGAATACATTTTTTTATCTGACGCCCGTAAAATATAAGTGAAAAATTTGGGTATAAAATATACTTTTATAAGTAATTTTTAATTTTGTCAGACAAAAGTTTGTATGCATAAATAGTTAAAGAATGATACTAATTTTTCTGTATTCTCCCGTAAGACGCTTAAAATAACATTTTTTAGCAAATGTGAAAATTTAGGTTTATATATATTGTTAATATATTCTGTTTTTAACGCATGGAATCTATGCATGTTGTTTTTTTAAATCAATGTTCACAATTCGTGTATAATCAAACAACGAGAAAATATTTACAGAACACGTGTACATGTGCGCAATTATAACAGCAGTGATTCGTTGACACGATTTCCTACAACGTCATTACATTACACTTTTTTTACTTAAACTGAAAAATCACCAAAGTCATGTCGCTCGGTGTAGTGGTGTTCACAATAGTATTGGCGTGGTCCCGCTTGTCCCACGGGACAGGTTACGTCGACGAATTCCAATGCGTGTGCGGTCAAAACGTGTGGATCAATTTGCACGACATCCGCAGCTCGTTGGAGCTGTGCCGAGACTGTTGGCCATCGATAGGAGCAATTGCTGAATACGGTAAACTGACTTCGCGCATACTGTTGGTCGTTCACAACCGTCACGAGCCATCGGCCCGATGGCTGTGGTTGTTGAACATATGCGCAAATACTGTCACTTGGATTTCAAAACCAACCGATGGGTTCCCCCTGTCCGATACACAAGTACTTTCAAGAATCCGACTGATCGAACACGGCCTGCAGTATATCTTTGACGAATTGAATCCTTTTTTAAATCAATGTCGGCAACAAAAATACGCTCAGCCAGATCGATGGTCTCGAGTAGAGTTTGAAAAGTTCATTTTGGAGAAAGTGAATGAAGTCAAAAGTTCTAACGAGACGACTAGTGGTAAAGTCAAGGACGAAAAAGATTATGAAGTTAAAAAATTATATTTAAACTTCGTTGGTGCTTCGCCGGATTCTCTTAAAGAGATTTTCAACAACCAAATAGGTATCGAGTGGACGTCAATCGGTCACGAAGTGTCCATGTTGTACAACGCTGCCAGAGCAAAATGGGTTTATGGGACACGTGAATTGGTTTTGTACCAAAAAAACGTGATAGCAGCAGTTGAAGCTTCCATAATGGGATACTTGATGATCCATGTGTTGTATTGTCAAGAATACTGGTCAGTAAACCTTCAACAAGGAGTAGCTTCAAATAAAGATAGTGTTCTTGGAGATTACCAAAGAATGTGGATGTCCATAGGCAATTTAATAGATAAATTCAATGAACTTTTGGATCTTAGAACGGCCAAGTATTATCAGTCAATTATTGTCATTGTCAATAACCCAGCGATGGATATCGGCGGTTTTCAGAATGTTAGTAATACCATCAGAGAGATTATTAATGAAATTAGCAGTGGAATGTTTTACTTAAAAAATGTCTGCATCAAACGTTTGACAGATGATCCAGAAAAAATGTTCGTAGAAACAATAGCATTGATCGATAATAATATTAGTTCGGCAGAAGGGTACATTAAAAATGTTCGAAGGATTTTTTCGGGGGTAGATTTCAAGATAATAAAAGAATTCATGAGAAGTACACACGTGTACTTAACCTAATTGAATTCCTTTGAAATCAACGATTATTAAAATACTAATATTTGGAAATTTGGTATAATCAAATTATCATCAATGAAAAAGTTCAACGTGAAAATAGTTAAAAAATTTTTATCAAAAATACTTTTACAATAAAATCCACACAAATCGAAATAATTTAATAAGAACTCATAGTTTTAAGTATCTAACACTGATAGTTAATTTTTAAATGAACTATAAACATCATATTTAAGAAATAGTCAAATGATGTATTTATTTATTAAAACACTTATACATCATGTGTAATACAATGTTATCTGTCTGTATGGTAAATATCTGTGCTCTCTATTTTTTTTTCTTTTATATACTGAAATCTATTTATTATAAGGAAAAACCCAACAGATTTTAGTGTAATGACCTCAATTAAATATTTTTACAATTTAATTTAATTTCCTATAGCTTTTATTGGCCTGAGTACTAATTATACAAAAACGTGATTTTTCTAAAACTTACTTATCAAGGCTTGTTGTAATTTTTCTTTAGAATTAATAGCATGATCCCATTTTATGGCTAGTAAATCCATTTCTGTAAAATTTAAACATTAATTGCTATTAATAACCGGAAAAATATAAGGTCGTTGACTGTAGTTTAAAAAACGCACTCCTATTACTACTTAATTCGTCGTTATTAAATAAAGATTGAAGCATTCCGCCTAAAACTAAATCTATGTAAACAATTAAATTCATTTGTACTCAGTTTTTTTGTTAAAAAAAAATATCAACAAATAACTGTAAAGAAAAGTTTCATTTGAAGACTAGTTCAACTACCCCTGTCTGTTGTTACACAACGAACGCGCATCACTAAATTGGTAATAATGTACACAAGGGTAATACGACGTTTAACACACTAGGTCTGTTTATCGATAGTTGTTTAGAGTTAAATTCAACTATCGATATTATTTTATACCTCTAAGTATAATTTGTAAGAATTAAGATTGATAATTTTGAATTTTTGTAAACATAGAGTTAATCAAAAAAGTTAAATAAATTAAAAGTTATAACAAATTTAATTACTCATTAAATTCCAAATAATTTGAAACATGTTATTAAATTATTATATACATATCTTAAGCTCAATTTGAAATACAAATAGGTTTAAATCTACTGAGCAAAAATTCAAGGCTGTAAGGCGTATGATTATATATCAATTAAAAAAAAGATGTTCACACAAAGAGCAAAGGAGAATTTATGAATTTTACGCCTTAGACAAAAGAAATAAAACGTCCTTTGAACCAAATGTATATTTAGCAATATATATGTAAAATAAAAAGACACTTAGATCGATAATTTTTTCGCTAAATCTAAATGTATATAAAGTTTATCTAGAATTCCATGCATTAATAGACAATTAATAATAATAATTTCATTTTAATGATTATTAATTTTTTCATAAAATATACATATTAATAATTTGTTTAAGCCGTGTACCAGAAACGCCCCTGACAATTTCAATACCAACAGCACTTTACCCCCTATGGCCTTCTCAAAATACGTCTCTGGCAAAAATTTTTGATACAATAAATAAAAATGAAAATTTTTTTACTAAAATAAAATTAAGATAATAATTAAAAAAACAACTGACATACCAGCCTAGAAAAAACAAAATTTCAACAACTTGTGTAAATAAAAATGTGGTAAAATATATTTGACTTATAATAACATTTTATAGATAAACTGCGATTTTCCTGGTTTCTAATTTTTTTTCAATTGTATTTGTTTTTATCTAAATCTTTGCGTAAAAAATTAAACCACGTCAATAAGATAATAGATAATTCTAGAAGCAAACAGTATGTTATAAAATAATACAATTAAGCTGTACTTTTATTATTATATTTCATTGAAAACTCGATAGTATGTTACAAATACCTTAAGCACCTGCTGTTACAGTTTGTAAAATGATAAGACATATTTCAAGGACGACTACAAAACTATTCTCTATGAAGAATTTTTATCATAAATGCATAATAATATTAGTAAACGGTTATCATTTTTTCTTGTAAGTGAAATCTTTGTTCAGTAAATGTATTTGTGGGTTAGCTACAAATATCAGTTATATGAACAAACGTTGACCACGTGTTGTGTACCTAACAGGTCGATATTTTTGTGCCGTATATGTGTAAGTAAATGCGAGTAGAATTGCCGCCATGTTTGCAGCAAAGGGGCATCGGCCTTTGTGTTATTGAACTTATTATTAGCAACACTTCTAAATATCGATTGTACTCTAAACGTGTTACATTGATAATTGAAATTTTTAATTATCATTTTAATTGTAAATTTTTGTTTATGTCTGATTTCAGATAGTTGGAATCAACGACAAAAACATAATACTTGACAATCGTTTTCACAACAGTTTATTGCGTAGCGATGGACATAGTGTTAAATTTACTTTTTTTCAAAGCCAATTCAGAATATTTTAGTTTTTTCATAATAATGCTACATTTTTGTAGTATTAGAATTATTATTATTTAGACGAAAATTAAAATTATGATTATTTAATATTCAATATTTTTTTAAAACCATATTTGAATACATAATATACAATTATAATTGTAAATTTATTTATCTATTGATAAGTAAATTTTATTAGGTAGTTCATTATTAATCACAAACCACAAAGTTGAAACAATTATGAGTATATTCTAGGTTTTCTAATTACGGTAAAAAATCTTGAACTTGATGTACATTACTGTTTTACAGTCGCTATTGTAAGACCTTCAAAACTAATAATTCCTATTGTTTTCTCGAACACGTTTCTACACAACATCTTCAAACAAGTTTCAATTGTAATCAATTACAACATTTATCATAAACACAAACTACAGTTATCATTATTTTTATTTAATTACTATTTTTTTAGTTTTAATGTAATTGATGTTTTATACTGTTTTATATTTAAATTTATTAAAAAAAGGTCCATCATTTAAAAAAAAACAAATATCAGTTTATTTGAAAAATAAATTTCATGCTTCCTTTTTTGATAAAGTAGTTATAAAAATGTATTTTCTCAGAAACTTATTTGACTTCAACAAGTTTAAGTGTATTAATTAAGACTACAAGATTGTTTTTATAAAAGCCATACCGCTTATTTAATTAGACATTCTTTCAACATTTATTATGACAAAGCAGTTTGACAACCAAAAACTCATTTTATTATTTCGTTATTATACATATTTCTTTTCTAAACCTTGATGTCAATGACCCTCATATGCAAAAATAATTTCAAAACTTTATTTATTTGCTTAGTAAATATAGTACATTCATAGTATTTAAATGTAGACTAGTTTTGTATCTTAAGTAATATTTAAAAATGTTACTTGACTTTTAGTTGAAGGATTATTAGACTATTATGAGGTTATCTACATACGTTTAGAGGTATAGTACTTATTATGAATAAAATAGAAATCAAGGACTAAAGGTTTTTATAGGTTTCAGTGTGTTAATGCTTTTTTGTTTTATATAATTTTACGTTCCTTTTATTTGGTTTCATACTTTTCTTAATTTCAATCTTTAAACCAACTAATTTTGTCCAATTCCAGTTAATAAATGTCTTTGATTAAATTGTATACATATTTAAAATAATCTTCATTCATAAAAAAACACTAATCCTGTGTCGGCATAAATTACTTCCTGCAATAATACATAAAATTTGCTATTTCAACATTGGAAAAAATAGGGGTAGCTTAGGGCTACTTAACATCTAATACGAAAAAATAGAGAACTTTTCTTAGTACCATTTTTTATAATATTTTATGACATATTTGCTAACTCTTAAGTGCAAGTGAAAAATTGTTTAGAAGTTATTCAAAAAATGTTCTTTTTTCAGTTCTTTTTTGCATTTTAGAAAAAATTTCTGTTCGTGCTCCCTAACCTTCCTTGCCTTCATACCATATATGACTAAAATTAAGAATAAAACTCATTTAAATAAATTACAAATATGCATTGTTATATTTAATATGAATACAGTTTATAACAGTTAATACAGTAAATATAAAATACAAAAATAGAAATTTTTAAACCTTACTTTTTTGAGATTCAATGCGAAGCTGAGAATTTTAAAATTTCATTTTATTTACGATATTTTTTAATTTTCTGGGAGAATATTTTTATGTTGATAATCCCTTATTATTAATTCGTAATGATAAGTTTCTGTTAAATTTTTACATTATTGTATACTGTAATTTAACACAGTTCATTATACTCTTGTTAATATTGTATTTAATTGTATACATCACCCGCAGTGAACAAAAAGTAAAATTAAATGACAGTTATTTATTTTTAAATCTATCATACTGTTCAAGATGAAAACATTAAAATTTCTCTGTTTTATTATGCGTACGGTATCAATTGATTTTTTTTCTTTAATTTGTATGCCCTAATGATTAATTAGATGCGTTTTAATAGATTCTCCTTAAATATTATGATCGGGGAAAGTAAATTGTAAAAAATACAATGTAAAAATGTCAAAAGCTAAATAAGAGAGTTAATGAAAGTATAGACTTGATAAGAAGATAAATTATACAATTTAATTGATTATAACCTACAATTCAAAATATGTTTACCATACATATGAACTATTTGTTTTCAATTTAATATTTAAATAAATACCGTTATAGTCATAAGCGCAAATAAAGATATATTTTGGCTTCTTAGCACCCCCCGAGATGACATTAGCACACTCCAGCAGATTTCACCATTCTTCTAAAATTTGATTAGGAAAAATAAAATAATTCCTTATAGTATTATACATAATAATAAATAATTAATGTTATTTTGAGATCTCATTTTTTAATATTGTAAGTCTGTAATGCCGTCGACGTAGTATATCTATTTTATTTTAAGCATAATAATATGTCATGTTTTCAACAACTATAGTTGAAATACTGCAGTGGTAGAAAAAAAATGTATTTAACGTTATACATAATTGTTTATTTATAAACAGATAAAGAGAAGGTTGGTATAAAATTTTGATTGGAGGGAGGACATTTTTTTGATCTTTAGAATTTAAGTACCCCAAGTTCAGAACACTATTTGAATCTCTGGTTATAGTGTTCCATAAGATTTTTTTAAATACTTGAATGATTTAGTACTTCTAACATTTTTTTTCTACCCATTTTTTAAAATACATTTAATCTCACAAAGTGTCATTACATGAGCAATTATTAATCTCAAATTATCAATTTTTAAATTCCTTTACAATAATTTTCTTTATGAATTCATAGAACTGAAACGAGCTAAGAATTAAAACAAGACATTAAACAAATAATTAATTATTTAACTTCTTTTTTAAAGCATACTTTTTAATTTCATATTCAAATTTAACTTTATTAAGGCTCTTAACATTTGTCTCTAAACAACTAACTAAAAACATAATAAAAAAATAATTTTAAGAATCCTATTTCCCTATATTTTTTTTTAATTATTAGCTTTGGTGTGAAGCTTAATTAATTTTACTATAATATGTTTTTTTTATATCTGTCATCAATTTTTCTCAGCTCCCACTGGAATGATTTCTTTCAACAATACGTCAAAAGATCACAAATTTTATCTAGTTAAAGACATTACCCTTAAAAATTGAAAAAGTTTTCCTCGTTCCTTGTAAATGGGGGAAATCCCTCAAAAAATTAAAATTTTTTAAATTATTAAATTTTGACTTTTTTTAACTTTGTTTTTTAAAAGCTATCATGAATTTTTAAAAAATGAACGAAATAAAATAATTTTTTTTATATATTTACCTTAGATGTTTATCTTTTATTTCCTATACATTTTTTTAAAAATTTGACTCTTTACCTGCCCATAGGGGGTTCAATATAGCAACTCTTACACAAAAATTTAACTTTTCTGGAAAATGCTCCAGAAATAATTCGAGCTACAACATATATGTTAAAATAAAGCTTATATTTTGTACTATAAGTTCAAAAAAAATAGATTTATTCTGACGACTTTTTTCTGTATGTAATTGTTCCCAGAAATGCGAAAAAAATTATCATTTTGATATAATTGAAATATTCAGAACTTTATTTCGTGATTAGTTTTACCTATGGGTTATCCGTTGGATGCGTTGTTGAATTTCATTAAAGTCTAGATTTTTTGGTTATTTTTATACATAAAATAACGTTCCAGTTAAAACCAAATTATTTTTAATTATTTTTTGAAAAGTTTTACAGCAAACATTTAAATTTTTATAAACGTTTTCCACATAAGTAATGAAATACACAACTAATCTCTCTATTAAATTTACAATACTAAATTATTGAATAACAATTTCATACTAAGATTTATTACTAAAATTAAAACTATGAATTACTAAATATTTATTCATACATTAAACTTATAAATTAAAGAACTACTATCAAGATATAATTAAGGAAATAGGAGTTGCATTTAGAATAATAGACCAAATTCTTAAAATTATACACTAAGTACAGATTTGCATAGAAACGTTTCGTATGATAGTGATTTTAATTACTGTCAAATATCATTTATGCTTGTCCCAACTATGCCACGACCTCACTGTGCTACCCTTTTTTTACTTGCTTTTATAGATGTAGAGATTATGATTATTTACTTTCAATTGCGGAATATTTATTTCTTTAGTATTATTAAATGACTTGTGTAATAACAGCTACGGAATCCTACCTTTTACATGTCACATTCACTTAGTGGGTTTTTTTTACTTTATTTGGCTGCAGTGGTAGTCAAATGATTTTGCCATAGGAGGGGATTAAAAACTCTTATGATGACAAATTTAGTGGACGCTGTAATCTCATATATCAGATCTTAGAAATAGTGGTAACAAACATGAAAAAACACATATCATAGTAAAATTATTACCTTATCAGCTTTGCATCGAAGCTAAAATGTATTAGAAAAAGTTTTCATTTATATGCTATAATTTTGGAAAATAACTTACTTTATTCCCTCCATTTACATAATTCGTACATTACATTATTCACTAGTGTAAGAAGGCCGTTACAGCCTTCTTATTATACTTCATATGGTCTTGAAACTCTTACTGTAGTCTAGCTAGATTTATTTGAATCGCTTTCTTGATTAGTACAAAATCGAATACTGAACACGCACGCTGCTTTCAGTCTTGAGCTGATGGAGTTAAGAAGTGTGTTGTCTGTTATCACTTTAGCCTGTGCATCAGTAGCAGTAAATGCGAAGAAGAGCAAGATTTTAGGAACAGTGAGTTTTAAATAATGAATAAATTTATCATTATGTAAGACTATTTTGAGCCAATCTATTATATAATATTATTTCTATTGTATCTTATAATAGTATTATATTTTTCCAAGAAAAATTGATTTTATAGAAGTAGTTTAAGTGATAAAGCTTAAAAATAATATTTAACAATTCTTATTTTACTGAAGTTTAATTGTGCTTACTTGTGGCTTGAAGGTAATGAAAATTATTGTAATAAGTAATTTAATCAGGGTTGATAGAAAATATATTTTTTTTAACCAGTTCCATAAGACCAATGTATAAACCATTTTGAATTTTTTACTATTTGAAACGTAACAACCCTGAATTTAATATCATACATGTAAAATTTTAAGGTTATTATTTGAATCGTTAAATCATAAAAGTCGTTAAGAATTAATTCAATGTAATGTGACTACTAAATACCACCAGGGTTGCGTAAACATGAGTGTAAGATGACTAGGCTTCAAATGCAATATTATTAACGGCAATAAACTAAGAATTTACGAGTCATTCATGTTGGAAACTGTGTACTTAAAGCGCAGATTTCGTCAAAAAAAGACAATTAGAGGTTTTTTTTTAACTTGTACATGGAAAAAGTATACTTTTGCTGGAAATTATATTACTTATTTTTCTACTCAATCACTATTTTAAAATCCGGTTTTTATCAACATCTATTTTTATATTTATAATTAATAATTTCTTAGTCCATTCAGGTAGCTCTAATGTAATCAACTTATTTAAATTTTATCATTTCATATTTAAATCATCTGTTGTCAGAGCTCACGTTAAGTATAATGGCGTCCTACAAAAACTATTACAAAGGCTTTTCTTTCATACTTACAAAACAGATGTTTCTTAGCGTTCAAAGGAAATATGTATTACTGCCGCCGTAGAAAATCGACCTGGTCGCCTTACTCTAGAGCCAGCCTAGCCAATGCGATTAATTTTTTTGTACGAACTGTAAATTATAATAAAAGTGAATAAAAACATTTAACAATTCAGATTACTTTGAATGATTAATTTAAAAATACGCAACATAATAAGTCGCAGCATAATTCGGACAAATATAAATATCTGACAGTAATTAACCATCACTATCATAAAAATATATGCGAATTTGTAAAAACTTTAATAGAAATTTAATAAACTAAAATTATATGTATTCAATTTTAGTATATTAATTATATGCATTTATATAAAGAAATGCCTCGATAATATTTTGGTTCAATGGGATTTATTTAAAATTTGCATTTCAGGTTTTTTATAATGAATATCTATACTTTTGCTTTATTATTTTAGGAAGATCTTATAGAAAATCATGGACATCGACATTTTAGCCGACATACAATTCCTACTGATGATAGGTACTTGATAGATATGTTTCGTATTAAAGGACATGGTGGTCCCCCGTTTTTACTTTTACATGCTCTTATGGGAGCATCTGATCAATGGTTTTTAAGAGATCGGCAACACGATTTACGTAATTATTACAATTTTCAAAGTAATTTTATTATTATTATTTTTTTATTGAAAAAAAATTTATTCTTTAAAGCCTCAATTCTAGTTAACAGTGGATACGATGTTTGGTTGGGTGATTTTAGAGGTAATATTTATTCCAGAAAACATGAAAGTCTTAATGTATCTAGTGCCGAGTATTGGAAATTCAGGTGATTGAAAAGACTATGTTTTACTAATAGCTCTTAATTATTTACACATAACCAATCTTTAAGCAGCCACTCAAATTAGTTAAAATTCTGTATGTTTAATAAATTAGTAATGTTTTAAAGTTCGGTTATAGTATTATATACTAATCAATAGTATGGTACCATATACTTAAATTCAAAAGTAAACTCATTTTTTCTGAATAATATCAATGAATATTAACACGACATAAAGTATGTACCGTTCGTTTTTCAAAATGTTTAAAAATTTAAATTCAAAATAAGAATTCATCACTAATTTGGTGTTAGTTATATCGGAGGCAACAATAATCTGTTTCAATGGGCAATATTTTACTTGTATAGTAGTTATCAAAAATGTTTTCTCAGTGGTCGTTCAACAATATAAAATTTTAAACTTGTGTGGAATATAATTGTATGCGTCTATTAATAGTCATCAATAACTTCAGTATACAAAACAGTAGAATAAAAATAGAAATTTGGTTTAGAAACGCTTAAGTTTAATACGCTAAACAGACGAACGCTTGATTGGATAAGAACAAAATTGTTTGTAAATTATTTTTTCTATTATATTATCAAGGTAAAAATAGGGGTTCTGATTAAAAAATAATAATGGTAATATTTTTTATCCTTGAATAAAATGTTAAACAATATTTTTCTTTACAAAAAAATTTTCTAATATTTCCTAGAAAATGAGTGTCGTAACTCAATGAATCACTTTTTATTTTTGAGGTGGGCGATAGGAGCGTTCTCCTTTCTTGTACCAGCATAATCAATATTTTATTAAGCAGATATTTATTAAAAAAATGCTTTAAAGACAATTTTTATTGCCATCTCTTTGTTTTTTGAGAATTTTTTCTAGTACGCCTACTATTGAGTCGCCCTATCATAATGAGTTCTAAATACTTTGCTGATACATCGAGTAATCAGAATTTTTATGTTATAAGTTTTTTCTTATATATAATTTTTATAAATAATTGAAGATAGTTTCAATTATTTACAAAAAAAATTCAATAGTATGAAATTATAATCAACTAGTATTTAGTATGATTTTAGATTCAAATCATGCACCCAGAAAAAAACCTCGATCTATATAATAAATTATTTGTTCAATTTGATAAATATATCATTACTATTGAATCTATGATATATTTATCAAAATGATAAATTTTTTTCTTGTCTTGAACAATAATTATTTATAAGAATAGTTATTTTGTTCGTATTAATAAAACATTATCATAAACCCTTGATAAAATTTCTCTATCAAAATTGATTGAGGTTTTTCTTTGGGTGTGGTGACACTAAATACTTTATTTTAAAAATTGCTTTGTAATATTTAGTATTGATGAATGGATTTATTACGACTTACCAGCTATGATTGATTATGTTTGCAAGGAATCTGGTTACGATAAAATATACATAGTCACTTATTCTTTGAGCAGTGCTGTCTTCTTTTCGACAGTAGCTCTAAGACCCGAATATAATGAAAAAGTTATAGTTAGCTATCATTTGGCTCCATTTGTAGCATTTTCCAATGTTAAATCGGTGCTATTACGCCTAGGAATTCAGTTTGGGCCTCAATACTTGGTGAGTTATATTAAATACAACATAAATAAAGCGAATTAAAAAATAAACTAGTTTCGATGTTTAGTAGAATAGTTTGTACTACAGTTTGGTATAAGTTGACTCATAAAATGTATCATTTGAAAATGATTTGTATTAATTAAAAATGTTAACCAAGAAAAGAGTAGTTGTGCGACCACAATAAATTCAAAATATTCATCGTTATCATTTTAATAAGAAAAAGAAAAAAATGTTTTTAAAATTCGTGTAAAAAATAATTTTTTACTAAGAAATGAGCAAAGACAACTTAAGTCCAGAGGACTCACAACTCTGATAATTCTAAAATATCATTATATGTACATTTTAGTTAGAAATATTAGTGAGACTATTTCAATATTATATTAAAAATTGTGCTTTAAGTTTTAAAAATTATATCTTTAAGACTTTCATGATCATATCATTTTGTTGGAAGCATAATTAATTTTATATTAACATAGTCTCCAATATTGCTGCAGGAGAATAATTCTCTTTTTAGAGTAGAAAAACTTCCCATGATAACTGTCTTTGACTGTCATTTTTTTCCTGTATTAACTGTAACATGATTAGTTCATGACCAGTTCATTAGGAATTATAAGTTTTTACAATAATCCTGAAACCCACCAATCAGTATGCGCTCCCCAAACTGAAAAATCTTAATTAAATTATATTTATATTGAAACAAAAATTGACTTTGGTTTTTTATGCTGTCATTTACAACAAAAATATTTTGTTACATTCGATATAATAACTATTTGTTTAATAAGATTTAACATTTATTATTTCAGACAGTAGCCAGAGGTCTTAATATCCATGAATTATTTCCACGCAATGAAAGGGAAGTAGAAATGTATTCGTCACTTTGTAGTAAAAATTCAACATTTTTGAAGTCGTGTACTGCAATTGTGTCGGACTTTTTTGGATTGGATACGTCTGGTAACTCTACAGTAAGTATTATTTTTTTAGTTCAATATGTTAAAAAATCTCTTTTAGAATTGAGTTTTTCATTTGTCAAATTATAGAAAGATCTGGATTTTAAACTAGCTTACTCGAGAGCTGGAGTATCACTCAATAGTATAGATCATTTACTTCAAATGTTAAGAACTAGTAAGCATTAATTTAAATTGTTTATGATATAAATATCAGATAAACTCAAATTCCTTTATGAGAAATTAATGATGTAAGGGTATAAGTACATTATGGAAATTATAAGTTTACCAACTCCGTCTGTAATAGTTTATTATAAAACAAATTATTTGCATTTACAAGATAATTGTTTGTTAAAAGTGATACATTTTTGATGTTGAAATTGAAAGTTGATAGGGCTAACTTACCCCCTTATCAAAGCTTGAACAACGACATATAGTAGTAGTAAGTAGCACTATCGGTACCTAAGTCTTTATGTTCGTATACGGTGGTCAAATCGTACCGTTGAGTCCGATGACTTGTTGGCCGTAAACTGATGTAGTTTTGTTGGTTTTGCGTTCCATCGTATATTTTATTGAATATTCACTTCATATTTGGAGTGGTATTCTAACCGTTCACACATCGATATTGTTTCTCCTATTTCCGGTCAGTTAGTGCGCGATGGGTGAGGTTATTCTTTTCTTTGTGTTAATCTTCTTACTATGTGTAATTATTTAATTTGTATATGTGCAAAAGAATTGTTATTAGTAAAAATCTAATCAATTGTGTTTTAATTTTATTATTTGAGTGTCAAGTAAAACACTCGACCCGTCATTTATAAATATAGTTAATTAATTTAACGTTTTTGTGAAGTATTGAAAGGCGCTCTGGGACCTAATATTCAACTACATTATTTTTTCAACGGAGATTGAACTTCCAACAAAAAATATTAATACATTTGTTAAAAAAGTTAACTACATTGTTAATATTTTTTTTAGAAAAAATGCAACATTATGATTTAGGATTCTTTAGAAATTGGAAAACATACGGACAATACAGACCACCAGAGTACGATTTAAGAAAAGTAACGTCGCCCAGTGTTTTATTTCATAGTTACAATGATAGAATTGTTGATAAACGAGTAAGAAACAAAATTAAACAATTTAATATCTAATATTTATACTTTAAAATTACGGTATGATACCTATTTCTGAATGAAGACAACTTTGGATCATAAAAGTTGTTTTATTTGTTTTTTTTTAAATATTACAAGTTAAACGCGATTAAGATAAGAGAAAGGTTTAATGTCAATTTAATTACGAATTCAAATAATCATAAATTATTTAGTGATTACTTCTATGAAAATGAATGGTTAAACATTTTTCTTAATTGAAGATATAATTATTTTTTACTGCTTGGAAAATTTTTGCGCAATGTTATCTAGAAGGTTTGATTTGGACAAGTATTTTTTGTAATCTACATACGTTTCACTTGCTATAAGAAAAACTATTCAATAATGAAAATTTTGTTATTGGCAAAATTATAATTGAATACTTGTTTTATCTTAATCAGATTTTCATTTTATTTTTTTAGACAATAGATAAACTGGCTGTTTTATTACCAAATGTACATCAAACTTTCAATATAAAGGATCGCCATTTTGGTCATGTTGATTATGCATTCAATAAGAAAGCAAAACACCTGGTGTTCGATAATATTATTGAAAACGCTAAGCAATTTCGAAGCTAGCAGTATATTTGAAAATTATTTTTCGTGATTGGAATATTCCTACTAAATTATAATTTGTACCTGCCAAATTTAACTTTTCTACAATTACTAACTTAGAAAAACGTGTTGTTATAACGGATTTTTTTTTATATAATGTATTTATTTGTTAAGAAAACTAAAAACCTCAGACTTAAATATTTTTAAGACTATAACATATTTTTTTATTACGACTGGTATTCACAAATTTCATATTAATGGGATACTTTAGAAATTTTGCTTTTGAGGAAAAATATTTTCTTTTTAACATTTTAAATTTGTTGTAGACCTTTTTTAGAGTTATAATAGGAAAAAATGAGGAATTAATCTTCATCTTCTACAATAAAAAAAAAAAAAATTATTTTTATTTTTATCATTATGTTAGTTACTAGTAGATGAATACTAAAATAGAATAGGGATTTTAATTTCTTCTATGTTTATTTCAAATTAAAGTACTAAAAACATTTAATTTTTTGATAGTTAAAAGTTTATTTATTGTATATATATGTATTATTAAAATAGATCTTGTAATTACTTTTGTTGGAAGAGTTATTAGACTAAATCTAAAATAGTTATCAGGTCCTATTTCATTATGAAAAATAAATGTAGTGATATAAATAATTTTATTAAAAAATTGTTGTGATTCTTTATTAAATTTTTTTGTTTATTTAAATGTCAAATGTAATTTTTAACCTACAATAAAATATAAAATTACTATGATATAAATCATGTATAAAAATTATTACCAAAGTTAAGTTAAAACACTTATATATTTAATTTATACATTTAAATACACAAAAATATATTTTAAAATGTATTCATTTATGTGTACTATTTATACGTATACATAAATACTGACAAGTACATGCCAATAACAAAAAAATTGAGTTACACAAATGGTGGGGATTTCTTTTTCTTATGAAACTCCCATAATTTTTTGATTACATGGTCAACATATTAAAAATATTAGACCATACTTGGCTTTATTAACTATTTGTTTGAAAGGAAAATAGCAAATAATAAATGTAGCATAGGAAAAAATCTCTCTTAATTTCTATTAACTTAGGTATATCTTATAAATAATATATATTAATTTACAATTATTATGTTATTAGTATACGGGTATCCAACCAGATTTCATATCTAATAGAGGACATCCTGTTTATAAAAAAATATAGGAAACATAAAATAAGTAATAGAATTTATATAATCAAGAGTTCTGCTTAGACATATTTTTCATTTTATAAAACCAACTAATATAAGTAGTATTTGAGTAGGCATCATTATGAAATGACAGTGTGATCAGCTATTTTGAATGATCAGATAAGATTACCATGATTAAATTTAATTTTAAACCTGCTATTATAATGTTTATTTAAATATAAATGATATCAAGACATAATGACAACAAAATTGAAGAAATGTATGATAAAATAAATGAAATGACTAAAACAGAAGAAAATGTTAAAATGTTGAGTGATTAGAATGCAATAGTAGGCGTGAAAAGAGACATATAGTGGGAAGCATTGTCTAGGTTATAAAAATCAAAGATGAGAACAGTTAATATAGTTTTTCAACATTAAAAAGCCAATAAAACCTTGCATAAAAATTGATATAGTAAAACTAAAAAAAGAAAAAATAAAGTATAAGAGTTAGAGTAACATTTAAGAACAATAAATTTACAAATATATATAAAATGTAATATAAAAAAGTTAAAAAAGTGTGGCTTGATGAACAGCAAAGTTCTTAACGAGAGTAAAAAATTAGTATATTTAAAAGTTAAAAAGCTTTTTAGGAAAAAAAATTGCAATGCTAATATTTTAATAAGTAAAAACATTAGAGTACTAAATAAAGATAAAGAAAAAGTTAAAAGATGGAAAGAAAATCATGAAGAGTTATACGAGTATAAATCAAATAATAATGAATTTGAAAAGGGTATTGTAGTACTAATTTAAAAAAAAAAGTAATATAAAAATGTGAAGAATACACAGCACATTAAACCTCACCACAGATACCTCTAAATCTATCTCCCAAATAATCAAGAGTAGAATAGATAAAACAATGGATCGAAATCTAGGTAGAGACTAATTTGGGATCAGGAAAAATATAAGAAATAGTGAGGCAATTATAAAGAATACTAATATAAAAACAGATTGGAATAATAGACACATTCATTGTTTTTGTAGACCTAAAGAAGGCTTTTTGATAAAGTGGGTTAAATTATAATTAATCTTTAACGAGATATATTGTACACATTATTTACAAAGATTGAAATTATTTTGTATGATAATTATTTTAAACAAATAGTTATCTTATTAATATACCTTAAAAAAAATATATTTTGTTTTAAATAAAATTTTAACAAAAATATGCATCGTTGAACAATTATTTTACTAATTTGTGTTAGCATTATAAATATACATAGGTACCATTAAATATAAGTATAAGAGATAATATATACATCAACACTAGAAGTTATTTTAGTGTACTCTATTAATATATGAAATAATACAAACAATTATTATTTTATTAGAATGTTACCAACACTTGATGATCATTTATATCTTCAAGGCGCTCTCTATTTTGATCTTGTAACAAATAGTTTTTAGTTGATGTTATAGATTTTAAACATAGTCCATAGAATAATCTAGGCATTAGTGAATTATCATTCGCTATATAACGCCATCCTAGATGACTTTGACAATTTTGACACAAAATAATAACCCAAGAGTAACTAAAAATAATTAATGAAATATGTATAGTCAATATACTTATATTGTATCATACATACCCTGGAAACCAACAACATTCAGTAGATGGCTGACCAATGTTTATAACATCTGTGTCCTCATCAAGTTCTGTTACTGTTATCATATCATGAATTGTACCCAATGAATTACAATAGGTACCTTGTGGACCCTCAGGTGACATAGGAAAGACGCTACTCATATTACAAACTGGTGCTCCACATCCAGTTTGAGCACACATAAATTTTTGCATTGATTGCTATAGTAGTAGTATTATATTGAATTTAATAATACAATTTTTATTGAACGGTATATTTAATAAGTCTAAATTGACAAAATTAGTTTTTTAATAACTCACATTTTTATTCCAATAATGAAGTTCATATTGCAATCTCAGGTTAGTAGATTCAATACCTAATAGATCACTCACTTGTTCCTGATTGAAAATGCCAAGGCGGGTAACTTGAAGAGATAATAGTGCTGGATCTGATGAAATTTTAATATCTTTATCTATTAAAATATAGAAAAAAACAGATCATAAGTTTCAACAGTTAAAAATAACAATAAAATATATAATTCATAAAATGTACAACTCAATTACTATCAAGCCTGGCCGACCCCAATTATTTGGGATATTGGTAAGGTAAAAGAAAGAAGAAAAATTACTAACAAGCCATTTTAACTTTATCAGTGACACGTGCAGCTAGTTGATATACATCAAATTGTTTGTACACCCAATCAGGCCATTGACTTTGCCACATATCTCTTTTACGACACCTAGAATAAAATTCTAAATTTAATATGATTTATTATTAAAAGAGTGTTGATAATTTAATAATATTCTTACATTTCATTATGCTTTAATAGTCGTTTTCTTGGATTTAAACAAAATTTATTAGAAGGATCAGATAATGTTATGTCTGGTAATATTTTTACTCTAGCTAAAACAATAGATTCTTCTGTGCTAGAATATAAATATATGAACACATAAATTATTACTTGGTAAAATTATTCACTAATAATTAAATTAAATTTATATGATAGTTAATTAAAAAAATAAACCATCTTTTCAATTTAATTGACCAAAGACAATTTAATAATCTGTAGGATGTACAGATTATAGTACAATGTATTTAAAACATTCATAATGTTGTTATCAAGAAAAAATCTTTAATGTGCTAAAACCTAATTTTTCATGAGACACAAAAAACATTTAAAATAAAACCACAATATGTTAATGATTAACAAAAAACAATTTTAAACAATATTCCTACAACTAAATCAAAAGCTTATTATGAATTTGTTGTATCAATTGTAAATATTTTATTACATTAAAGGTTTCGTTTATTTAAATTTTAAACCAAAAAACACAGGAAGTTTATAAAATTATTATTAAAATGAAAAAATGTTGTCCAAAATGTCATACATGACACTATACTTAATATTACATATGATACCTCCTGTGATATTTTGAAGAAATATTTTAATAATGTAGGAGGTATTCATGGTTGGTAATACATTATTAGGTTTAATTATTTCTATTTCATTAATTATGCCATGCAGGTTACACATTGGAGATTCTATCAAAATATTCGTTTATTTTCCTGAACTCAGTGATAACAAAACTTCTAAATCATAAATTTGGCACATAGGAAGTTCTTTTAAGGCAAAAATAAGTAATTACTATTATTAATAGAAAAGTTATTCAATATTTTAATTTTTCATAAAAAAATAACAATTTACCATTATTTATTATATATAATTGGTCAGAATAATGATTACTGTTATTAAAATAGCAAATATAACAAAATAAATTTACCTATCAGGGAATGGTTCTACATTTAAAATTTCATAACGTTGATGGCCCATGGCTTTAATTTGAAATGATTGAGAGTATTCTATATCAACTGAGTGTTCATACACCTCAGCAACAGTACCAAAGGTCCTTTTATTTTTGTTTCTAAAATAAATATAAATAAATATTCATAATATATTACTAGTATATGTAACATAATGACTTGTCTTACAATTTAAAAGAAACACCAAATGTACGATTTCTAGCTATAGCATATTTTAATATATGTTGTATGTCAGTGGAGCGAGCTATGATTGGTAAAATCTGTCCTGGTACTAAGTTTAATTTCAAAAATACAACTGGTAATAAATGAACAACTCCCTCTTCAAAAATTGTTCGTCCGCTAGCTTCATGAAGTCCTGCTCCTAGGTACTAAAATATAATAACTTTAGTAAAAGTATTTAAAACAATATAATAAGATTTACTTTATGTGCTGGTGTTAAATTCGGATCATAATATGATACAGGTTCATGCACAGGTGCTAAAAATAGATTTAATTGTTATTATTATAATGTACTAACAAATTTCCAAAATTACTTACACATAATCAAGTTATTTGGGTCTCTTAATACAACTCGTTCATCTCTCATTCCAAGCCCAAGTGGACGAAATGGTAATTCTTCATATTGTTCAGAATAACTATAAAACATAAAAATTACTTTTTACTACAGTATTACAGAAGACCACATATCTTTCAATAATCATATAGTGGAAAGTAATAATTTAAAATACATAATTTCTCAACAAGTAAAAATTTAAATAGTGTAAAAAATAATTATTAGCCATAGAATTATACTTAACATTTTCCTCTTAATAAATTTTATTGCAAGACTCTGCATGTATAATAAATCACCTACTTATTTAATATTGATTACTTATTTTTTATTGTTCATTCCTAATATTGAATGCAAATCATAGTATAGAATTTACAATAGAATTTTTGAAGTATGAATTATGATGTAGCGATTAAATGTATTTTCAAAGATTATAATAATAGTAAAGCAAGTTAAAAGAAAATCATTTAGGAGATATTAACACTTTAAATATATACGGTACAGATATATCTGTACTAAAAATTGTAGTAATCTAATATATTTTTGTCTATAGCTAAGATTGGTGGTATCGGTTTTAGAATTGTAAACGATAATTAGAAATTTAATATTAAATTATACTAACAATTGTGACATTAAGTGATATATTCAAAGAATTTTCTATACAAATTCAAAAGGATAGAATTCCAATAAATCGATTAAATATTTTTGTAAATAATTTCCAATTACTGTTCACTTGAAACCAGAAAAACTATTCTTAGATTATTAATACATAATAGTGTTGAAATTTTAGATGTTTATGATTACAAACATATTTTAATTCAATAATTTGACTGTTATTTTACAGTACGTATAATATTAACTCAACATCAAATCAAAATAAAAATAAACTATACAATTAAAACTAATAAATGTATAGATATGTGCTAACTTAAATTTAAAATAAATAAAAACTATTTAGTTCTCACTCTAAGGTGTCTGAGTACTGCGATTCGGAGTCTGACATATTAGTTACTTATTACAAAACATATACGTTTCCATAAAAATAATTTGGTTCCATTTACAACAAAAAATTAATTTTTGGTAAGAATAGATTTTTGTTTTAATTTCAATGGGTCTATTATTGTTATCATTGGTGTTTAATTCTATACCATAGTCTTGATCATGGTTATGTATAAGTAATTTAAATTAGAGATGTGAATGTGGTAAATTTAAGACGTACATTTTTTTATGGTAAGGTAAATTTACCTTATTTATTTAAACAAAAATTTACCGCGTAAATTATTTTACTGCTCTAAAATTGAGTAACCATTTAAATCTGATATTTCGTTACATAGCATTATACTATGAGTTCATGCAGCTGTTGGTGTGTGGCGCGCTGTAGTGGTTAGATTATGAATTTTTATAGAGTAAACATTCTCGTATAACAGGAATTTTGAACAATAACTAATATAACTCGAAAACTATTTATTACTTTGAAATTCTACCTATTTGTCACATGAAAATTATAAAGTCTCATCTGTATAGATTATTATAATATTCATGTATAAAAATAAACTAAGTATTAGAGCTTTTATAAGCTTATTAGAACACCAAAATACGATTTGCGTTTTAATCATTGACTCTAGGTATACTTGGACTTTGGTATGTTAATCATATCTTACCATTTTTGGGTTCATTATATTCTCATTCATCACTTCCGTGAGAATGTCTATGTATGAACAAATAAATTAATTGCAAATATATTTTATTACAATTTATGTTCTTGAGATATAAGGACTATAAAAAATTATATCAATGTAAATTATTTGTATATTTTTTTGAATACTAACGGCGAATTTTAAATTATTAGTTTTACATTTTATTAAGGTAACAATAACAAATATCTTTTATAAAAAAGTCTCTTGATAGGTAGTAAAATTAATAATTTTATCTCTTCTAAGATATAGGTTGACTGTACATGCATTCTATAGTAAAAATAAAAAGGATACATATAATAGACCTACACCTGTTTTTTTTGGGGCCTAGTCACAAATTAAATAAGAGGTATCGTAAAATTAATTTTTTTGATTATTTGACAATTTTAGTGGTCATTTTTTTTTCTTTGCTTTACAATTTGGGTTTTATTTAGATTTTTACTGTGGACGACTCAGAAGAAAAAATGTTTTGTTAATATTTATTTGTTTAATATTTTAAAAAATAAGATGATCAACATTTTTAGATATACTATATTGTGCATCCTCGTAAGATGAATCATTTGTATTAACCAGATATTTGTTTCAAATTAAAAAAATAAAAATAATTTTAAGATGTCTGAAGTTGAACTGAGTCAGCTGTTCATATGATAACGGTGTATTTTAAAAATGAATCTATGGTACCAAATGAACAGGTAGTTTTAAACTTCTTTACGTAAAACTATGATTAAAAACTTTAGTAGTCCCAATTGAGGTTTATTAGTGTTACCACAGTGATAAGTTAAAATTAGTAATAATTAATAGAGGTTAATTTTTCAAATGATATTCGGTAGTGAAAGCTAATTATTTATTTATTATAAATAAATAGTGATAGTTATTATTATATTTGCGTGGTTACAAATTTTTAATATTAATTAATTAACTAAAACAAGTGTGTAGTAGTCATGTTGTGATAATTTTATTTTAAACTATGTTAAAGTTCCATTCAACACATTAACTAAATTCGTGATGATTAAAGTGCATAGTATTCAAACGGTCGTTACCGTTTTAGTTGTCATAGGTTCATGCCTGTTGGCATCATCAATTATAAGATTTGCGTATTTTTTATCTGGATACAAGACTTTTTCGGAAGTCAATGGAATCAATAACTATCCAATAAGTTCTAGTGAGTTACAAAAAACATATTAATAACTTCTAATTCTGCATTAGATTATTGCAATTCTAAAAGTATGTGTAATGGCGGCAAATTTTATTCAAAATTAATTTAAAGTGAAAGTTTAAATGTATTATAATTTTTAATAAACTAAAAACCTTTTTAATTTAAAGTTTTATTTATTTAATGTTATAATAATATTAGTATTGACTATTTTTTGTACAATGATTTTCGAAATTTCCCATAAAATATACAAGTAAAATACTAAAAGCATGGTTCAAATTACGAAAATTGAATGGTGAAATTTAATTTATTATTTCTACAATATTTATTAGTATAAATTAATAAATCAAAAAAAAAAAAAATGTGCCATAATATAGTATTTATTCATAGTTTCAAGTAATTTCATTTATATTTACAAACAAAATATTTAAAAAAACATAATGCCAAAAAATTTAATATAACTTAAGTGAAAACAATTACATGCAGAGATTATAGTTTTTAATTATGTTTATTATTTATCAATAACTAAAATAGTAAGAATAATCTATAAAAAGAAATTGTTAAATTATAAATCCACATTATGTTAAATCACAAATATAGTAATCTTACGAAATTAGATGCATTTTTAATAATTTTGTAATTTAATTAGTATTTATGTATATAACATTTTAATTGATAAAAGATTTTATGATTATTGTTAATTTGTGTTGTATTATTAAGTATAATTTTTACTGTTTAATTTAATTAAATTAATAATATTATATTTGAATTGTAATTTACAATTCACCTAGAAGGGAAAACTTACATAATTTACATTATAAATAATAATTACCAAATTTAATTATCTACACATTTTATTTATAAATTCTACTAATTAAGTGCTTCTACTGAAGTTTCACTTAATAAATTTATTAGGCTATTGTTTCAGCTTTAAGCTATTGAAATTTAATAACTATCTATTTAAACAACGGTAAATAAAATTTTATTTTAAAAACCAGGGATTGATAATTTTAATTTTTCAAAAAAAATGAAATTTTATTGATTATTAAAATATATATATATTTAATTAACAGATTGCTCAATTAGCTTTGAAACATCAATGTAATATAAAGTTTGTTAAATTAGTTTTCTAATTTAATTAAAGTTATAATAATATTTTAGAATAATATTTTTAATTTGTAACAAAAAAATGAAAATATAGTTCTAAAACCCCCCATATCTATTCAATAAATTAATAAAAATTCATGATTTTTTTTTAATGTGTTTTAAAAGTGTCTAATCTAAACATAATATTACAACAATAAAACTGATGACTATATTGAATAAAACATAATTTTAGAAAAAGTAACATTTTCAATTCCTGTTAAAAGTACTATATTTTGATTTCATGTATATTTATGATTGTAATTAAATCACTATTTGAAATAATGCCCAAATTGACTTTATTGTAAAATGCACTTTTTTCTTCTAAAATAATTTATTGAAATTGATAAATACAGAATATTACCTACTCAAGACAAAAATTTATTTTACAATAAAAATAACTTAATTATGCTTTTTTCTAAATATGTTTTTCTTGTGGTACATTCTATTAAGTACTGTGAGTTCATTAATTTTAATGACTTCAAAAATGTTCAGTAAAATTTAATATATTACACACAATACAAGTGTTTTCTATTTAATAATTATAAACTTTAAAAATTTAATGTATATTTGAAAAAGTGTCTAATTTTATAAAAAAACTGTATTTTAAAAATTCAATGAATTAAAAAAAGGTAAAATAATTAATTAAAAAATAATATTTATAATAATCTTGAAAAATGGTTTTTCGTGTCTTCTAAAAAAAAACCAGAAATAAGTGATTCAATTATTATTATAAAAATCATATAATACTATTTTCATTAATATGATAAGGCTAAAAAAAATTTAAAAAATAAAGAATAGAATTTTATCTATGTATGATATTTTTATTGTACAAGCCAAGTAATATGTTAGATGAATATTTATTACTTGGAAGAAGTATGAAATATATACGGAAAACTAATTAAATGTGGAATTACTATTTTCTCTTATAATATTTAGGTTATTACATTTTCCAAATACTTTCTGGTTAAAAGAAATAATTTTTTTTTACAGAAAATTTGATGAAATAAATTTGTTTTTTTAAATTTAGTTAGAATTTTATGAGTAAAACTTATGATTAGATTTTATTAAGCAAAGAATTTAGATTCTTGTCTTCTCTTATTAGATTTTTTTTTATTACAAATATTATGATTTTTTTTTAACTGTAAGAATATCACTTACATCATAGTAAGATTTTAAAATGTACTAGCTAATTTTATATAATAAAATTTTATAATAAAAACATTATTAACATAAAATGTATGAGTAGGTAATCTTAATTATTACATTATTAAAAAGTATAATTATTATACATTTAATGAATTATTTTAATGGTTATTTTTTATAAACCAAAAAGTTATCTAATAGAATGGTATTCAAAATGAAAAAACTCTTCTAGTATTTGAACTATGTAGTTTTATCAATTTTTGGCTAGGTTTGAAAATTTTTAACTACTTCTAGAGAGTTAATATATAGGTTTATAGCCATCCCCGGCCTCTGTCAATGATGATAGTAGTGTATATTGGAGATAAAGAATATACTAAATAGCCAATAATATTTAATAATTTTTGTAAAAATACAAAAAAAGAATTGTTGCAAAATGTTCAGCTTAAAAAAATATTTTTAAATTTTAAATGTGCAGAATTAAATAGAATAGTTATACTCTAAATTTGCTACTTTTTATTTGAACAATTTTTATAATAGTATTTGTATGGAGTATAAAAATTATGTAAATATGTTTTTTCAGGACAAAACTATAAAAAAATAATAACATCTTAAGTTAAAGAAAGTAAAATTTCTTTTATTTCATTGTATTATAACTGTTAAAATAAATATTTATTTTATTTACTTTCATAACTTATTACTTCAAATAGTATGAAATTATTTTTTAAATTGTCGCCGTTAGTCAATAAGATATTGTGAAAACGTATTTAATATGATCGTTTTTATCTATTATTTGTTATTTAGCATTTCTAGTTATTAATAAATGTTGCCTTGACTAGACACTATTTGAGAAAGTAGCTTTTTTGTCAATTATACTTATTGTTCTAGCTTTTATTTGGCTACTTGTTTAAGTACACGCTGAAATGATTTTTAGACATAAAATTAATGTAATTAAAAAATTTTAAATTAATTAATGTACTAAATGTAGTAAATTTTGATACTATGTTGATACTAATTAAGTATGTAGTGTTTATTATTTGATTGGTCTGCAAAAACTTATAAGTAGTCTTAATAGCTTCCTTTTTATATTATAAATAAAAATGTATAGTTTGATTTTTGTTTTGATTTTAAGTTCGTTTTTTAATAATTGTAGTGTTTTTTACTTGATATCCTGAGATGCTAAGAATAATATTTTTGTAAATCATATATTATTTTAAACTTAACGATCTAATATTTTTCCAAAATTATAATTAAATTGTTAAATTATTAAACGAATGAAATATTAAAATTGTGCTATAAAATTGAATTTAAATATACATATATGTATTTTTCAGGTGAGTTTTACTGTAAAACTATTTTTAATTGGTTACTCGCATCGAGTTATTTATTTATGCCGACATTGGCTGAATTTATTGTGTATAAAGTTGGCAACATTTGCAGATTACCAAAATCTTTTTATAAATTTACTGAATTAGTTTTTTTGTCATCTTATCTAAACGTAATATTTTTTTACTCATTAAAATTTTACTCGGATTTCATCCTAGCTAAATAATGCATTTTTTTACAGGTAATAATTATTTGCTGGCAGAGAACTCCTGAAATTTATTTGTGGTCTATAAATTCTCCTCATACACAGTATGCCCATGTATTTATTCATATTTGTATGTGGACTATGTCTATTATGATTTTGTGGGCCATTGACATTATGGAAATTACTGGACTGAGATCGGTAAGAAAGTACTGTTATAGTTATATGCTTACCAATAAATAAAAATTAAATAGATTATTGAGTTTTATATGTTTTTTCTATTAGCTTTATATCTGAAAATTAATATAAATAATTTTCAACCTTATATTTCAGACATTATGTCTCCAAGTTTTTTGAGAGATTAGTGTCTGGTACTAAATTTTAAATAAGCACTATCTTTAATTTACAACATTAGCGTGTCAAAAAATGGGCTCTAAAATGTCATACGAGGTGTGTTCAGAAAACGACGAGAACTTTTTAATTTCGCGGGTTCGGAAAGTCCGATTATCAAGATATTTTTTGATAACGTTGGTACACATGTCCCTGAAGTATGATCTAAGTTTCAGCTGGATTAATTTTTTACTTTCTCAGTGATAGCCGCTAAGGTTAAACGTGTTTTTATGAGATCGGCGATTTTTGTTTGTTTAAAAAAATAGTTCAAAGAATTTGAATCAAACTTTGGGTAAAGAATGAAGATAAGTGTGACGAAGGCCTATGGTAAGTCTGTCGTGAGTAAAACAAGGGTTTACGAGTCGTATAATAGTTTTCATGATGACTGTGAAGACGTCGAAGATTACAAACGCCCCAGCACAACAACAACCGATGAAAACGTGAAAAAAGTGAATAGAATGGTTATGAACAATTGCCAAATCATAATCAGAGAAGTCGTTGATGATATTGGAATATCGATTGGCTCATACCATGAAATTTTTTAAAATATATTAGGTATGAAACGTGTAGCAGCAAAATTTGTTCCAAAATTATTAAATTTTGAACAAAAATAGTGTTGAAGTTGTTCAGTAATCACTTAATGAACTCAATGACGATGCAGAATTACTGAACCGTGTTATAACAGGTAACGAACATATAACAGTGAGAACGTTATGCTCACTGTGTTCTTTGATTTTAATGGCATAGCGCATCATGAATTCTTGTCACGAGGACAAACGGTCAATGAGGAGTATTACCTACAAGTTCAACGTCATTTGCATGAAACAACCAAAAAAAAACGCCCGGATTTGTGATAAAACAATGCATGGGTTTTGCACCACGATAATGCACTTGCTCACACTTTATTACTTCGTGAATTTTTGGTCAAAAACAATACTATAACGATGCCTCAGCCTCCATATTCGACAGACATGACTCCGTTTATCTTTTTTCTATTTCCAAATATAAAGAGACACTTAAAGGCCCGTCGTTTTACAAACATAGGTGACATTAAAAGCGTATCGCTTAATGAGCTGAAGACTATCCCAAAGATCGAGTTTGTGAATTATTTCGAGGATTCTAAGAAACATTGGCACAAGTGCATAATATCTAATGGGATTTTTTTTGAAAACTTTCTTAGGGTATACTTCAATGATCCACACCAATCGTCAATGCAGTAGTGGAATCTTATCCTCTTTTAGTATTGCTAGCATGCCAGGCTGTACATTAATTACTGGACTTAGTCACTTAGTCTTCTGCTGCAACGACGATAGATATTCAGTACGCCATCTTTTTCAGAATGATTGTGTAATTTTTTGCACTAATTTTTATCTTTTTAATCGTGTGTCTGGCGTTCCTATCACATTAGATTCCGGTGTCATCTGCAAAAGACCTTCTACTAAGCAATGGTCTAGTGTTAGAGCTGTCAGAGTAGCCAGATCGAACGATAGGGCTGTTAACGGTCGTGAGTTGAAGCAGACTTCTATTAGATATAATAGCGTTGTTAGTCCCTCGAAATTTAAAGTTGCGGTAGATACTGTTTGATTAAGATGGTGTTTGAACAATTTTATTGCCGTTTCCCAAATTCCACCAAAATTTAGAACACTAGGTGGTGAAAATATTCACTAAGTTTCCTCTTGAACCATATTTTCAAGAATTGTACGACTCGTAAGTTTTCGTTGGAAATAATACTCTAATTCCTTTCTTGTTCCAACCAAGTTAGCCGTGTTATCTGACCAGATTTGAGAAGGCTTGCCTGATCGTCCTTTGAACTTCTTTAAAGCAGCCATAAACGCATTTGTACTTAGACTACTAACTGGTTTTAAATGAACTGCTTTTGCCGAAAAACATACTAACATTGTAACATACACCTTGATTGTTAATGATTTTTGCATACAATGTTTTATTAAAAGAGGATCAGTGAAATCGACAACTGTATGAGTGAACAGACGGCTTGCATTACCTCTGTCGGCGATAAATTGACTCATAAGTGGTTGGCAAAGAACGGGGTGAACTCTAAAACATTTTTGACACTTGTTTACAGTTGTACGTGCCGAAACACGACCCGCCAATGTTAAAAAACAATAACGAATATTAACTAATAACCCTTGCGGCCCAATATGTAGAAGTCATATATGAAATACTTAAAAAATTAATTGCATTATTCAATGATGACGAGGTATAATAGCTGGGAAATTCCTTGCAAAATCTTCACTAAAATGATTCAATCTACAGCCAATACGAAATACACCATTTTCTAAAAAAGATGACAATCCTTTTAGCAGTCTTTTAGAAATCAGATTTCCTTTGGTTAATTCTTGTATTTCCATTGTAAAGGCATGTTGTTGACCGACCTTAACCTATATATCCTGTGCATGATTGAGCTCAACAACGTTTAAAGGACTCACTTCTGTTTCAAACAAAGTAGATTTAAATTTGTGCGAATCTAGGCGATAAAACGTTTCCATATTGCATTAATAGGAAAATATTTATGCCAACTTTAAAAAAATGCAGTAATTTGTTTTCAACAGGAGTAATTGTTATAAGAGTAAATTTAACAGGTCTTTGTTCAACAAAGATCTCATCAACGACAACTTAAGTTTGAGTATCAGCAGTGAGTGGACATTTTTCTTTATCACGACCCAAAAATTCAGGACCATTCTACCAAATATCTAAAATACTAAGTGCATCCGTCGATATTTCACAGAACAAGGGATCAGCCGGATTGTAGTCCTTAGGGATATGCCTTCAGCACTGAGTTCCAATAGTGTTCAATAAGTAGCCGCGCATAGAGCGCGACACCTAATCGGTTGCACGCAAAAAACTAGGTTACTTAATTAAATAAAAAAAAAGTCCAACGAAATGAATATATTATCAATAATATAAATAAAATAAAATTTCAATAATAAAATACAAAACTAGCAAATACTGATCTCAAATGCCCAGTGTGCACATGTCCAATAGGTAAATGCCTCTATAGTAACCCAAAAGTAAAAAAATATATAAAGTTTAATTAAAGGAATAATGATAAATTAAAGATTTATATGGACTATTTATTATGGGAATTAGATTGTTGTTTGTCCCAAACAGGAAGTGAGGATCGAAGGCCCAATGTAATGAAGTATTATTAGTTATAATTTTTAATTTAATTAATTCAATAATCATGGATTTTTATTTGCGGTGTGAGTTTGTAACTCACATTAGTAACTCGAGTGGAGTTGATTAATGTCAACGCGTTGCTCCCATGATTTTTACTTTGAGTGGTGCAGGTAGTTTTTCCCATACGTTGCTCTAAGGATTTCTTGCCTTGAATGGTGAGAGCAATGGTTCCTCACATGCTTAAGGACATTGTATAGTGTGTGTAAACCGTACAATATTACAATATGTTTAAGTTGATTACATTTACTTTTGCATTAATAATATTAACTTGTCATGTAACATTGTTATTTGAAACGATCGATAATTTTGCTATTATTTAAAACTAATATATTGAATTAAAATTAAAATAGGCAATTAAAATTGACTTACCTTTCTGCCGTCTTTATTTATAAAGATGAAATGTAGTCAGGAGAAATAATAATAATTCGTATACAGAAATAAGAATTCAAGTGTCACGAGGTTTACGGTAGTCCAAATTATTTCTTATTTACTTCCAGCATATTGTGCTAAATACTTAACTGAGTAGCTAGTTACACTACTGTGCTCCATACTGCTCTACGCTTATCTATTCTACCCAGTAACCACTGAACTACTGTACTACTACACGGATATTACTTTAGCCTTTTTACTTTATATTGTTTATAGTTCCAATATCTTATTTTTTGTTAATTTCTAATGGCATACTGCCTATTATGACTGTTTAAATTTATTATTTATTATTATTATTATATTATATATTATATTGATTAAATTTATTTTTAAATTTTGATGATTGCGCAGTCAGAAAAATTGTCATACGTGTAAATTTGACATAAAATATCAAAAATTCAAACAAAAATATGATATTTTTAACACGCTTATATTAGTTTCACCTGTATGTATGTGTATGTTTGCAACTCTCCAAGCGCCACGCGTTATTCCATCGTCTATGGCCTTGAGACTAGACTGTGATAACGCATTCACCCCTCCCCCACGCCTCGCTCACCACAACGGCAACACTATTCCTGTAAAAAATTTATTTTTGGTTATCGTTCCCGTACACACGTCAGTGTCATCAATATTATACATATATAAACAAATTTTAGCTTCGATGCGAAGCTGAGAAGGTATTGGTTTTACTAAGATGTGTTTTTTTTTTTATTTTTTATTTTTTTTTTTTGTGTCTGTTACCACTTTTTCTCAGCTCTCACCGAACGGATTTCTTTCAACGATACGTCAAAAGATCACAAATCGTATCTAGTCGAAGACATTACCCTTCAAAATTGAAAAAATTTCCCTCGTTCCCTATAAATGGGGGAAACCTCCAAAAAAATTACAAATTTAAAAATCGCTAATTTTCGAAATTTTTTCAATTTTTTTTACTAAAAACTGCCGTAACTTTTTCAAAAATAAACATATCAATATAATTTTTTTTTATATAGATGCTTGATGTCTTTACCTATTATTTGGTATATTTTTTTTGTAAATTCGACCTTTTTTCTGCCCACAGGGGGGGATTTAAAATGACAACTTTTTCACAAAAAATTAACTTTTTCAACTTAACTTTTGAAAATGTTCCGGAAGGTCTGACACTTTTATATATATCTTAAATTAAAGCTAATGTAATGTACTTTAATTTGAAAAAAAAAAATTTGACCTCTGGACTTGTCTTCATGGTGAAAACGGCTACCGAATGCTATTTTTGTGTGAAAATTTTCGATTTTATAATTTACATTTTTTACTTTAAAGTGCTATAACTTTTTAAAAAATGTATGGATCAATACAATTTTTTCATGAGAAGTAGTATTTATATACATCTTTCATTGGATATACTTTTTTTTTAAATCAGACTATTTCCCTATATATGGGGGGGCTTAAAATATAAAAAATGCATATAGAAAGTAGAACTTTTTCAACTTAACTTTTGAAAATGTTCCGGAAGGTCTGACACTTTTATATATATCTTAAATTAAAGCTTATGTAATATACTTTAATTTGAAAAAAAAAAATTTGACCTCTGGACTTGTCTTCGTGGTGAAAGTTGACATCAAAGTTAATAAAAAATTACGATTTTTGTAAAATAATTTTTTTTTATATTTTTAACTTAATAATGCTCTAACTTTTTCAAAAATGAACATATCAATATAATTTTTTTTTATATAGATGCTTGATGTCTTTACTTATCATTTGGTATATTTTTTTTGTAAATCTGACACTTAACCTGCCCACAGGGGGGGATTTAAAATGACAACTTTTTCACAAAAAATTAACTTTTTCAACTTAACTTTTGAAAATGTTCCGGAAGGTCTGACACTTTTATATATATCTTAAATTAAAGCTAATGTAATATACTTTAATTTGAAAAAAAAAAATTTGACCTCTGGACTTGTCTTCACGGCGAAAATGGCTACCGAATGCTATTTTCGTGTGAAAATTCTCGATTTTATTATTTATATTATATTTAACTTTATAATGCTATAACTTATTGAAAAGTTTATGGATCCACACAATTTTTTTATGAGAAATAATATTTTTTAATAAACCCTTTTTCATTCGACATACTTTATCTTAATCGAGATATTAATAAGGAACCAGCAGATCAAGTAGCTTTTGGAATAAAACACCAATTTTTTTAAAATTAAACACTATCTAAAGATTTGCATCGAAGCGTTTATTTTTGATAGTGATTTTAATCACTGTCAGATATCATTTACTTGATCCAACTATGCCACGTCACCACTGTGCCGCGACCCCCCTGTGCTGGGTTTTTTTATTTTGACTGACCAATTCCATCCGCGTGTCATATATATATATATATATATATATTCTAATTACTATTAAAATTTATATATTAACACGATTTATTCTAATTAAGAGATATAAAGTATTCATTCCGATTACGAGGGATGATTTCCGTATCGTCATTTTTCGTCACTACCTCCATGTTCCGGGAGTGAGTAATTTGCGCGCCTGCTGCTTTCCTTGGATGTGGTAGCCGTTTCTCAGACTCCCTCTCCGGAATCGAACCCTGATTTCCCGTTACCCGTTACAACTAAGATATTGATAGTAACTACTATCATAACATGAAACTAAAAAGTGAAAAATAAATATAGTTAAAAAAAACTAAAAAAATACGCTTTTAAAGCACATTGAACTAAAAAGTTAAAAATAATTTTTAAAATAATTATGAACAAAAAATACTAGTATATTTGTGATAAAAGCGTGGGTGCTTTGTGCCATATTTTTCGTATATTGATCGCCCGACGCTTTTATCACAATAATACTAGTATTTTTTGTTCATAATTATTTTAAACTTATTTTAAAAATTATTTTTAACTTTTTAGTTCGATGTGCTTTAAAAACGTGTTTTTTTTGTTTTTTTTTAACTATATTTATTTAAAAAAAAATAATTATTCATTTATAAAAATTTTAAGTTAGCATATGTAATATGACAGTTTTTTGTTACATACTCACTACACAAATGCTCTTTTAAAATCATTAATTAAAGAGTGCATAAAACATCTTTAACAATATAATTATTGTTGTGAAAGATTTTTACGTAACTTAATACCTGAAATTTGATACATAAAGTAAGATTACTTACTAATTCTATTTAGTATATATATATAATTTTACTTTAGTTATTCGATATTAGCATTGCATTAACGCTTTTTATCACAATATTACTAAAATATATTTCTACATGCGCCTAATTGTATAACAAAGTTTCGAATTTCGTATAATTTAAATAATTGTATTTTATTATAAAATAGTAATTACACCTAAACATCAAATTTTACTGAACATTAATACTTAACTCATAAAACAGTTAAAGTAAAAAAAAAAAATATTTTTTTTTTAAAGTTTTGTTGGGACAAATAATTTTAAGTAGTATAAACTCCAAATAATTCAAATAGTTTAAAATAAATAATAATATTTTATGTACTAATTGTATAATATTTTGGGGATCTTTATGTGATAAACTTTATTTTTTACAGATATTTTATTATTTATTGGGTAGAACGCACTATCCTTTGAAATCTCAACGATTTGATTTATTTTTGAAGAATATAGCTTTTCCTGGATCTTCATGTTTAATAGTAATTTTGTGGACACAAAAATATATGAGGTAGGCAACAATTGGAGTAATTTTTAAACTTTGTTAAATTCGTATTTACCTAATTTTGTATAATTTTAAGTTTCGATAGATTAGTGTTGGCAGTTACGTGGACTTTGTGTCTTATATCATGTAATAATACAGACGAAAAAGATATAGCCTACGTTTCTAAACAAATCGAGAAAAAAAAAAAGTGGATGTTTTATTCAGAATGTATCACAGTTTCGTCTTTGGAATAGAAAATAACACGTGAAGATAGTATTATGTAAATGGGTATATATAAATTTGTATTTTTATTTTATAAAGAAATTGTATGGAAATCTATCAAATTTTATTATATTACTTCAATAAGACATAATTCAACATGTGAATATTAATTTAAATAATTTATTATATTTATGTACAGATAAAAAAAAACGTATCTTGTTATAGTTCTATATAACGAATTCTTAACTAGGTTTAAGTAGAATAAATGTTTATAGGGAGAGTTAAGTAATTTACGACGTTTCTAATCCTTTGAGCAATTATATAAAATTTTGATTTTTGTGGATGAAGTTAATTGCTTTTGGACTTATAGATATGCTAATTATAAGGTCAACATTTTGAAAAAAAGTTTAATAATTACTGTTATTAAATAATTTTTTTTTAATATTAGCTTCTAAAGTTATTCAAAAATCGTTATTATTTTTATAATAAATAATACTTGTATTAATAAAGCTAATTGTCCTTTTTGAGTTATTTTACATTCCATTTTACACAATAACTGATATCGGTCAGTTAGACATTTTTATGGGGTTACTGTCATTAACTTTTGTATAAAACAAAAAATGTTTTAATGAAAATTTTTTTTTGTTACAATTAAGAATCTGACACCTGTATGGAATCAATCTAAACCTATCGTGTAGCAAACTAACAATAAATAATTATTTATTTAATAATTTTTTTGATTTCCAATTATTAACTCGGTCAATATTGTTTAAAATGTTTGTAAGAAATGGGATCAACTTTCTCTATTCAAGGGTTTCTTTCATGTAGTGATAACATCTTATCTTGACAAAAACATAATAAAACTTTTACCTTTCCACTTCTTTGTAAAATGATCAAAGAGAATAGATCGATATTTTAGATAAAATGACATGCGTACAATTCATACAACTTAATTACAACAAAATTATTTTATCAGTGATTTCTATGGTTGATATATATACTCTGTCACACACCTAAAATAATTATTATCCATACTTTTAAGTATTGTAGTAAAGTCAAAAATGTATGAAAAATATTCAAATTAAGCTTGTCTTGAGGGGTTTTAAGTCTATAATTGGAAGGTAAAAAAAAATTATTAACCCCCTTTTGATTTTGAAAAAATTCAAAAATTGCATGATAAATAAACCAACAAATTGGGATCGCAACATAATAGGGATGTCGTTTAGTTAGGACAAGTATAGATAATATCTTAAAGTAATTAACATTACTATCATAAAAATAAAAATATCGTGGGAATATTTTTCTTTTTTTTATTATAAAGTACTCTTCAAAATCCTTTGATTTGATATAAGTTAAAAGTTGTCAGTTGCCTCAGATATTTTCAATATGTGAAAATGAAGTCATTTTTTTTTCACATAGTAGCACTGACAATATCGTGTTTTTCTTAGGCACACAACACGTTATCAACCAATATGGACATGTATAGGAATCTGAATTGTAATTGCACATAGTTGTAAGGTTTGTTTTTATAACACCTTTGGCCACGGGTTCAGATCCCGTACCATACCTATTTTTTTCACATGTTTTGTGGTATACTTTCGATGACCCATTGTCAACCCCGACGGTTGTGTTTGAACATTCATCGGACAAATTAATGCTTTTTAATTGTGTAGTACAATTTAAAAACTTAAATTTGATATAGGTTAAAAGTTGTCAGTCATTCCGTTATATTTTCAAAAATTCAATTGAAACATTTATTTTTACATGTGTGGGTGGTCTCTTTCAAGCTTTTCTTTTGCTGAGGTTTTATATTAGATTTTTTGATACAATCTATACCAAAAGAAAGTTTATTAATTTTAGTTTATTCCATAATAATTTCAATGCAATAAGTGTTTTTAGAAATAGTTATAGCAGTTTTAAAAATTAAAAAATAAAATTTGTAAATGCTATTTATTTCTTATGGTAATGTAATCTTAAGTTATATTTGAAATTTTTTAAATTAAAGGGTTTTTTCAATTTTTGGAGTCGATAGTTTCAAATAAATTAAATTTCGGTTTTTTGACGCATAGAACAACAAAATTAGTTCGGTAAGATTAAAGAACTTTCGTGGTCAGACATAAAAAAACATATCATTGTACAACTTACTTCTCAGATACGCATCAAAACTAAAAATAATTTTAGGTCTTTTTTTCAAATACATGTTGTCGAAGAGAAAATTATGGGTAAAAATTAAATATATAATTTGATTAAATTTTTTAAGTTTCAAAAAAAAAAATTTTTTTTGTCAAAATAGGCGATATAATAGCTGAAGAAGAAATGTAAATTTTTTTATCTCCCAAACTCTTGGGGGTGGAAAAAAAATTTAAAGAAAAAAATATCATCATTTAAATTATATTATACAAAATAGTATAGTTATTAACATGTAATTATTCATTTATTAATTTGGTCCACTACGCGTATTAATTGCAAATGATGCAATTAATCAAACTGTAGCAATGAGATCATAAAATTATTTGTTTACCAAGTAACAGCCAACGAGTTAAAATATGGATAAAATCATTAAGTCAACATTTTATACTTTATTTATTTTTAACATTTTTGGTCTTTTAATTCTATATAGATAGTAGAATAATTTATTACAATTTAACATACAAGTTAATTAAAATTAATAAAGGGCAAGCTATTTTTACGTTAAATTGTCAGTATAAACAAGTTGGAATTCTATTGGGAATAAGACCAAGGATACATCTGACAGACTCGACATTCAAGTGACACAAGGAAAATAATTAACACCTATTTATTTATTGAAATTTGTAACACAGTAGTCATGGATAAGATAATTTTTTACATTTTGCCATGGATACAAAATACAATATTGTATTTATAGCATGGGTGTTATGGAGACGTAATAATATTTTTGACTTATAAAATATAAATAAGAGGGAGGACGGTATGTTCGAGTCGGTAACGCGGCACTGTTCGATACACACTGCCTTAGGTTCAAAACTCAAACACGAGCGGCTTCATTTGTCGAGCGAGAGATCAGTTCGGTAATTGGAGTCGTCATCCCTCTCTCCGGCGATGGACTAACCATTTTTCCCAGATTATCAATGGTTAAGAAACCTTCTCATTTAGAGGAGGTCGCTATGGCCCTTAATGGGCTTATAAATAAAGCGTTAAAAATAATATATATATATAAATCATTAAATAATGTAAATAATGAAAAATGTATTTTCAATTACAAAATAAATTACTTACTTGTTGTACACTTGTAGAATATTTTGGTATACAATAAGTGGCGAGTATAGAACATGAATATTCTAAATTGTAGGGCGACAAGTCGAAACGCGCTATTGCCATTTTTTTAATTTTATAGTCGTGTCCACATAAAATAAGACCCCTAGACCGTTCTTAATAACGTGATCTGGTACGCTGACCTCTTAGTACGCGGCAGGTAATCCCTTTTAACGGTAACTTAACCAAACTTTTAGAACTAGAACATATTAGTATAAAACGCAAGTACTAAGACAAAATAAAATGTAACACAATTTTTATTGGAATTTTTTAATTTTCATATTGCTCTGTGAGTACTCTAGTGTAGTAACTTAAAATTGACAAATTATGAGTTAGGTACTTGTTTATACATGTTTTTACCTATGTAAAAATGAGGCATTTAACAACATAATAGCATGTTATTATTTTTTGTACGATTAATTAAAAGTTACTATAAAATACCACACTGGTAATGCCCCTAGGGGTATGTAAGTGTACGATTTTGTAACTTTGGCTTAGTTACGTCAATGTACTGGATTTATTAATAATATAATGGATTTATTATACAGTTCTTAAGTTATTTGGATTGAAGAGTAGCTTATCGTTATTAATATATTTAATATATTGCAGCACTTACCCACTTCAATAGTATTTATAGGAAGTATTAAAAAAGCATCCTCTATTGTGAATTGTTCTGTATTGCTATTCCAAAAAGATTCGAATTAAGTTTAATGTCTGTCATTTTCGGTTGACTGATTTTCATTTTGATAAGTGGTTATATCGAAGGCCAGAGACAAATCGTTTTACCTTATCACGATTTGCTTTGTCTCTACAAGTGACCAAATGACACGTGTACGCCTACTGATGTTTAGGTGTTTTCTTAAAAAACAAAAAGAACTCAAATAAAATGTAAAGTTAAATATAAACTTAATACTTGAAATTTTTTCAATTTTTGAGGGTAATGTCTTGGACTAGATACGATTTGTATTCTTTTGACGTATTGTTCATCAAAATCGGTCTAATGAGAGCTGAGAATAAGTTGTACCAGGCACACACAAAAAAACACACATCATAGCAGTGGCACCGGAACCAGGGGCAAGTTACCCCCTTGGTCAAAATACAAGGAGGGTGCAAAAGTATCATTATGTCCACCAATAGAATCTGAAAAAAAAAATTACAATGTATCTGGAAATTAATATCACACTACCATACTTAATTATTTAGCTATTCAGATTTTAGAATTAAAAAGTGTTAATGAATTTACCAAACTCCAGTTGAATATCAAAAAACCGTAGCATAGTGTAGTCGTGGGATAGTATGAATGTGGCATAGCTGGGACAACTATAGATGATATTTGACAGTGATTAAAATCACTATCATAAGAAACGCTTCTATGCAAATTTGTAAATAGTGTTTAATTTTAAGAAATTAGTGGATTATTCCTAAAGCAAAATTAACTCCTATTTTTTGTTCTACTTCGAGTGCCATTTGTACATAGAAAATAGGTCGTCGGTGCAAATTTTTTTTTTTTGAACTTCTAGTTAAAAGAATTAAGAATTAGCAAAAGAATTAGCTTTATTTTAATATATATTTAACAGACGCAGATTTTCAAAAGTTAAGTTAAAAAAGTTCTACATTTTATACAAATTTTCAAGTTTTCAAAATTTTTTTCTTAACTTTGAAGAGGCAAAATTATCAAAATAAGTATAAATTTATATTTAACGTAAGTTAGATTCATGTAAATTTTATATTTATTGGTGAATTCATTACTATGGCAAACCCTTGTAAGGTATTTTAAAATAAAAAATTAAAATAAATTTTGAACACAAAAATAGCATGTTTTTTAACTAAAACAGCTATTTGCACATAGAAGATAAGTCATTGGGACAATTTTTTTTTTTAAATTTAAAGTACATTACATATGCTTAAATTTGACATATGTTCTTAAAATGCAGTGTTTCCGGAACATTTTTAAAACTTAAGTTAAAATGAGTTTTGTAAAAAAGTTGCTATTATGAATCGCTCTCAGATTTTCAAAAATATTATATCAAATAAAAGGGAAATGCATAAGGTTTCAATATAAAAAAAAATTGTTTTGATTTGTTCATTTTTCAATAAGTTATAACAATTTGTATAAAAAAAAATGTTCAAATTTACCGATTTTAAAAATCTTTTTTTTTATTTATGCAATAATATTGAGAAGTAAGTATAATTATGCGTTTAAGTCAAACAAATACATCACATTACAATATAA